GAGCTCTGAAATTCTGTGCTTTTGTGCAATGACCCTCTTGCATTTAGCAAGCAAAGGGCAAACCCTGCCATTTGCCTGCCCTAGAAACATAGGAAATGGACGCTGCTCCGGTGTGTATGCAGCGTCAGCATTCTGGACCTGTCCGAGCATGTGCTGCAAGCCCCGCTGCAGGGAGTGCTATGGGCTCGTCCCTGGCCCCAGGGGTCTAGCCCTTGGCTCACTGTGCCCAGGGTCTGTTCCTTTGCCCCCCACCCCCACCCCAGGCACATTCTTGTCTGTGATGAGACTACACGAGTGCTTCCAAAGGGCTTCAGATGTGAGTCAGTGGCTACCGAGGGTTTTTGCTGTTGTCCCTTTTGATTTATGACAGAGCCTGCCAGAGTTCTTTTCTCGCTGGTGTCTGCATCTCTGTGCCTGACTGTGTGGCCATGGAGGGGAAGGGTTTTTTAAAAATGCTTCTCAATCCTTTCACAGAAGCAATAACTTTGTTCCACCAGTTTGAAGGTCAGAACCACACAGCCACCTGAGATGACCAGAATAGCCTCTTGGCAGAGAGAAGTGTATAAATCGCTGCATGCTGTCCTCCTGCCCGGACACGAGGGAGCCTGGCTGGGCCGGGAGACTCAGCTTATTCTTCCTGCAGGACAGCTCCCTCACTTGTCCTGTCGGGCCCTGCTCAGCTGTGGACACAACAGAGGCCCCAAACAAGGAAGGTGTGGAGAGGAACAGGCTGTGCTCCAGAAGGCAGCTCCTACAGCCCGTGGGCCTTTATTCCACCTGTGCAAGAAATCAGTCCGTGGTCTGCCAGGCTTGGTCTCAGGCCCATTGCCAAGGGCCATGGCACTGCTCCATTTGCAGGTCTCTCAGTGCCTCACAGCGTCGGGCTGCTGGGCACAGCCCACAGAAGGTGACAGCTTTCCATTCTTCTCTCTGCCTAATGAACACCCACAGGAGCCAGCCAGGTGGGAATCTGTGGGAATCTGTGACACATGGAAGGGTTAAGCCTGCCTACAGATAAGGACAGGGCAGGGCACGGTGCAGAGGAACCAGCAGTGCTGGCTGGTAGCTGTGAGCCCCGGTTCAGGGCAGAGCTAGAGTGAAAGTGCTGGTCTGCTGGAGAATGAGCCCCACTAAAGTGAGAAGTCTCCGAGGTCTTGTGTGGGTTTCTAGTGATATTTGTTTTTGTAAAAGTTGAAATACTGGCTTCCTAAAAGTCGAGATGGGTATCCTTGCCAGAAGTGCAGACCTGTGTTGCTCAGCTGCAAGGCCGTGTTCTGAGAAGGGCAGCACTGGACAGTCATGCTGCTGAGTGGACATCATGGCATGCAGTGACAAACCGAGGCAGTGCAGTCGGCCCCTTGTCATGGCTCTCCATGGAGTCAGACTCACTTTCATCTTGCAGAAGGGCTTATTCAACTTCATTCTAGAAGGAAAGGTTCTGGCTTGGATTGCCTAGCTATAGTACTCACGAGTGAGTTAAGCTTTGTAGAAACCCCTATTACCCGTCACACCATTTTTTCTTGCTTCCCCATATCTGTTGATTTTTCTCTAGTATATCAAGGCGACAAAATTAAATATGTTTTAGAAATCTTTTTGTTTGGGTTGGCAAATAGAATATTTCAGTTCCACTCAAATAGTATTTGAGAGGCTGCCTCTGCTGGACACTGTGCCTTCTCTGGAGACAAAAAGATGGGTACAGAACATGCTTGCTCTGTAGAACACAGTCTAAAGAGAAAGCAGGCATCAGTATCATCTACTTACTCATTCCTATGGCTTGGGTGTAGTTGTCACCCCAAAGTCTCATGCAGTCATAGCAGGGCGGTTTTCAGAGGTGGCTGGAGCTAGAGTGTGTGATGCTGGGATTAAGGGCATGTGATTACTAAATCAGTCCCTTGACCTAATCCAGATAGCCTGGGTACAACATCAGGGACAGAAGGCCTGTCTCCTCCCTCTCGCTTGCTTTTTTGCTGCCTTCTGCCTGCCACACACTGTTTCTCCTCTCTTGCCCTCTGCCATGTCACCCTGCCGTGGAGCCAGCCAGTTGTGGACTAAAACCTCTGCAAGCTGTGAGCTGAATAAACCTTTCCTCATTTAATTGTGGGTATCAGGTATTTTGTCTCAGCAATAAGAAAAGTGACTAAGACACATGTACTAGCAGGCACTTGTGCGGCTCTTGGAATGTGCTAGGCATGCTCATTTACAAATATGGGGTCATGTCAATTTTATATGAGGGTTTCTAAAGAGGGATTGTTTTGTTTGGATTTTGCTATAACTTAGTAATGAGGAGCAGAGGTGATTTGGGGCATGAGGGTGAGCACCTGGCACTGTCTCACCCTGTCCTGTGGAACTTCCTGGACTGGACAGGAGAGAAGTCTGATGCATCCTGGCTGGGTTCTAGATGTTCTCCTGGGAGTGAGTGTGGGCCTCACACTGGTTGTGGTCACCAAACTGGTGCTTCTCCTCCTGAATCAGAGTGGGCTTTTCAGTCCTGGTGCGGACCGTATCGTTGTTGTCACTGTTCATTGTTGCCTTGTGTTTTCAGAGAAGTTAGTGACATTCAGATATCCGTCTTTACAAGCCACTTGCCAACCCCTGTGTTATTATAAAATGTTATGTGCAGGACTTTTGAGAGGACAGTTTGCAAACTAAACTTTTGTTTGAACAGTCTTAGGAAAGGGCTTTGCGTTTTTGTTTTTCTAAGCTTAGTTCAGTGATAGCGGACTCTTTAGAGCTTTCACTGGAAGCAGAGCCCGTGGCAGCATGCCCACCACAGGTTCTCTGCCACTGTTCTTGTCTGATTTTGCCCTTTGAGTTCACTAAGAGTCCTACTGCTTTTCAAGCAACTCCCGATAGGAGCGGTGTTACACACTTAACTGCATAATTTATCCTATGGTGTGGCAAAAACCTTTAGAAATTATTCTACTCTTGTATAAAGCTCATTTTACAGAACAAATTAAAAGGGATACAAACAGGAACATTGCTTATGCCTAAGATTTTTACTGTGCGTTACTCATTTTATCCTGGACCCTCCTTGGAATTTTTTGGTTCTTTTTTTTTTTTTTTTTTTTTTTGAGTTTGTGATTCTTTGAGCAAATTTAGGCAGTTTCTAGGATATATTTGTGTGGTAACATTTTGTTTGCTACCTACTGTATTTGAGGTTGTGTCTATTGGTCATCTTTTTCCAACATTAAAACCTGCATCTTGGTTAGTTCGTAATTAACAAGCTCTGGCCTGTTGCTCATCTAGATTGCCCTCTGGGAGTCTAGCCAAGTTCACAAGTTGGTCACAGATTTTCCTTCTCAATATGGAGCAAAACTGCAGATGTGTAAGACGGATGTATAAGATTGTTCCTTACAGTGTAAGATTTGCGTGGGAAATCCGACTATTATAGGGGAAGTGCATGAGGCTTTTCTTTGTGCAGACATGAATGGTGAAACATGTGCTCGTGTTTAGGTCCATACTGTGGAAGTGTGACCGTTCCCAGAAATCTCCTGCTGAACACCAGCGAGGTGACTGTGCATTTTGAGAGTGGGTCCCACATCTCTGGCCGGGGCTTCCTGCTGACCTATGCCAGCAGCGACCACCCAGGTATGGCAGAAGAATCATGCATGTCTTGAACCCTAAGAGCTCCTGTTGTAGCTCATCCCTTTCTGCGACAGAGCTGAGATGTGGGATAAGATGGGAGAAAGGGAGGAACACAGTGTCCTTGTGAGTTCAGCCTTAGCTGAGCTATTTCATAGAGATGGATGGTGCTGCTGACCTGTGTGGGGTAGTGAGGTAGACTAGGTACCCATATCTTGGGTTTGCTCTGAGCCCTCACGGCTCCAGGCTGTACTCCAGGGCCTCCCCCAACTCCTCCTTTCCCCATGTGTGAGGTCTTTCATCTGGGAACTCATCCCACCCAAGCCACACCAGAGCACACCATGAAGTGGAAAGGAGGGCGTGAAGCACAATTGCTGGCCAGAAACCCTGTCTCAGTTGCTGTGTACAAAGGGTTCCCATCCTTCCCGGGCCACAGAGGCCCCAGTGTGCTGTCCCCTGCCCCTGGGAAGGAGAAACTCTGGGAAGGGAAGATGCCATTCATTTTCTTCATGGCCAGTCAACTGGCAGTGCCCCAAGTGCTGTGCCCTAACATCTGTTACAGCAAGAATGAGGTATTCAATGCAGCATATCTCATGCGTCAGGACCTTAGCTCCCTGCACGTGGAGCACTAGTTCCGTCACGTACATCACTCCAGGGAGCCCCAGCCAGGAAGTGCGTGGTCCCCAGGTTCCCAGGATGCAGTGCCACAGGCTCGGCCTTTGCATTCATAGTGTCCCTGGCTGCCACCCGCTAAGTGGCTGAGTCAGAAGGTTCTGGAGCCTTCTCTATACCGTAGTGGCTTTGGAAGGGGCTTTCTCTTGTCAGGGATCCTGCCTTTCACTAGTGATTTTTGTAGGTATGTAGTAGAGAATAACTCACCAGTGTCAGTTTTTCTGCTGGAAATAAGAGATTGTTATTGTTCACTCCTTGATAACACTGAAAAACTATCACTTGCAATAGAAAACAGAAAATGCAAGTATCTAAACAATGCATAAATTCCTTTAGAAATTGCCTTTTTTACTTAAAAAGAAATCTTTAGGCATAACTTCTCTAATTTCTGTTGATTTCAACTATTTTCATTTGAGACAGATTTATTAACATGTCTGGAACGAGGTAATCATTACTTGAGGACAGAATTCAGGTAAGCTGAGGGATCCTGCCTGGGCTGTGGTGGTGCTGCAAAGCATGTTCTCTTCCTCACTATGAGGCCAGACGGGTTCACTGTGTATACTGAGTTTGTCTGTGAAGCTTCCCCGTTGAGCCCATGGGGAGTATTTGCAAGTCTCTTGGGTGGCAGAGTGCAGTGGGCTGCGTCTTTGTTGGCCTGAGAGTCAAGGCATGGACTGGTGATTCTGTGCTGTTGGAGTTAAAAAGCCAAAGAAAGCAGTGAGTGAGCAGCACTCTATGTCCATTGAGCTGCATTTATTCGCTTACACGCGAGTCGCAAGCTGCACGTCAGCCGGGGCCGTAATCACTGACCCTAGTCCCACTGTGCCACGGTGGAATAGCACACGCACTTTTCTAACTGGTATTTGGAGAGCCTCTTGCAGTTCTTTCCTGGAGAAGAGTAAGGAAGGGGTTATTTTGTCATTTCTACTAAAGAAAAACCTGTAAAGAGAACAAGATGAAAATTGTCATTTGGCTTTTGTTTACCTAGAAAATCTAGTAAATCTTTTAACCTACTTTTCTTCACCTAGAAAGTGGAATAGTCCCGTACAACTCCCAGCACTCCTTGCCATGCAGGGATGGTGGTCCTCACTGAGTAACTCTGTCCCGTGCAGGCTGGGTGTTTGAGCACCCCTGCTCCAAGCCCAATGACAGCTGGGATGACTGAGAATGTCCCCAGTCCTGGTTGGGGGCCTTCTGGGGTGAATGCCCTTACTCAGGACCAATGGGCTGCAGATGTAGGCGGCAGCAACACCGCTACCTCTGGCCTCTCTCTAGCACTCTCCTGGGAGCAGGCACAGTTCCTTGCATTGGCACAGGGCAGGTGCAAGATCACCCCAACGTGCTGGCAGTGGGCCATCTGAGGGCAGAGACACAAATCAGCAGTTGTACCCCTGCTCCCAGGATGCGGGGTGCGAGCTGCAGTCCTCTCAGACACGTGGATGCCCTCAAGGTGGCCAGCACTGAGTGAGGGGTGAAAGGAGGCCTTGCTCAGCCCTGCCTGCCAGGGTACGATTCCCTCTGCATGCGCCTGAGCCAGCATTCTCCAAGGTTGCAGCCACACAGCTCCACCCCAGAGGCAATGAGACCTTGGGTGTCACAGGGCATTTTCTGCCTGCTGAGAGGAAGGGACCGCACTCAGGTCTGTGGGTTGCCATGGGGCCGAGCAGCCAGCATGCACAGTGGATCCTAGCCGCTGTTCAGGCCTGTGCCACAGCCTCCAGCCGAGACTCGAGCCCACGGAGTTTCCACAGCATGACGAAACCTCTCTGTGTGCCTCTCAGTCCATAGCCAGCAAAATTGGGCTAGATTTACAGAGGCCACATGGTCAGTGTGAACTGTGCTTGCTGTGACCGCTCACCTGACTGACTCAGAGCTCTTACCAGTTTCCCTTAACATGGGGACCTCAGCAGCACACTGAATCTTCCTGAAATCCAAAACCTCCAGGCTGAAGCTGCCTATGAGGAGCTGTGTACTCACAGTAGGAGTCTGCATTGTTTTCATTTGTTAAAAAGTTTTTACTTTTTTGCATTGTTTTTATTTGTGAATTTCTTGATTACCGCTGTAATTCAGGGACTCTAAAAAGTGACTGGATATTACATTATTATATTAGCAAATTAAATTTTCTAAGTCAGCAAAAGGAAGCCAAAAGAAAATGAAATAAAAACAATCATTATTCTGGAATATATTTGGGGTGGTACTCTTTAAACAACCCGAATAAACTCTGTAAAAATTGGCATATAGACATAGATGGGCACAGGACACTCACCTTCAAAGCTATCAGAGCTTCCCTGATAGCTGAGCTCCCTTATGTGTTTTTCACAAATGCATACAGCTGTTCCTCATATATTCACTACTGTGATGCTTGAAGGATCAGGAGAGAAAGAAAATGGGTCCAATAGGGGTTACAAGGAACGCCTAGCATCACACAGCTTGCTCAGCAGTGCAGGGCCTGGTCAACCTGCCAAGCACAAGATGCCGTCAGCTGCTCAGCACTCCATGACACATTTCTGGGAAGTTTCTTGAAACACAATTGTCAGATAAATTGAACTCTAATTTAAAAATGCACCTTTCTAGGATTGCAAAGTGGTTTCTAACTCACCTAGACTAGTGCTATCCAATACAGTAACTGGCAATGTGTAGCTACTGAATACTTAACTGTGGCCAGCCCAGCTTGAGAGGTGGTGCAGGTGGGAGGCACATCCCAGATCCTGAGGCCACTGTGAGGGCTCACTGCTAACATTTATGCTCATTACATGAAAAAAAGAATAGAATTAACCCCAGCACTGGGACACTCAGACAGAGGATCACTGCAGGTTTGAGGCCAGCCTGGGCTATACAGTGAGTTCAAGGCCAGCCTGCAGTGCATAGTGAGATCATGCCTCAGAAAGACAGAATGAAAGAAAGGAAGAAATTGGACCTACTGAATTAAATGGAATATATTTCTAATTTTGCTTCTTTTTCTTTTTTTTCTGGTACCAGGGATTGAACTCAGGACTGCATGCTTGCCAGGCAGGCACTTATGCTGCTGAGCTAATTCTCCAGCCCCTCTTTTTTCTTTTTAATGTGGCTACTGGAATGTTTACATTTCCATACATGGTTTCCATGACAACTCACTCTATCAGACAGCGTGAATGCTGGTGGAGCCATCACACTCCACACAACACAAGAGCAGTGCTAAGGTTTTTCCTTTTCACCTTCTTTCAGCCCATAAAAAATATATAGTCTAGACATTTCTTTTCATAAAAATGAGATCATAAATAAAAATGAGATCGTAAATTTAAAAAATGAGATGAAATTTTCCTGGTACCTTAAAAGTATTTCATAGGTATCTAAGAATCAAAGAGCATAAGGAAGGGCATTGTTTAATAGAGTTTATGGAGAATTCTTATTAAAGCAAACAATTATTGTGTAAAACTTACCTTCAGATTAACATTTCAAATTAATCTGTGCTCACAAATCGGGTTTCTGATTTTTTGTTAAAGATATTCCTGCCTGTATAGTGAAACACAGAAAATATTTTTAAGATTTAAGTAAGTTTAATACTTTTTGTTTCAGTATAATTTAATAAAGATATAAATTCTTTATTCTTCTTTTTCCAGCAAATTCTGCCCGCCTGGTTGCAGAGACATAGCAGGAGATGTTTTTGGGAATGCAGTTGATGGCTACAGAGATGTGAGTAGCTGTGGGCTGGCAGACAGGGAATGTGAGGGGTGCCAGTCGCTGTTTCCCCCCCACCCCCACCCCCAGTTCCTTACAGAGGAAAGCAAGATACTTGACTGCACAGACACACTATTCTCTCTTTTCTGAGGCAAAATGAGATGGAAAAAGTGAAGGAACCAAAGATTTTCTCTGCACTCATTCCTGTTTGTAGCATCTAGTTAGCATACTGCACATGAAATGGAAAGCACACTTTTCCAACACCTGCGATTACTCCCCTGTTAGTCGGCTTTCTCTGACTATAACAAATACCTGAGATTCATGCACTTCAAAGGAGAGATTTGCTTGGATTCCCAGTTTCGAGGAGGGCTTCGTCCCTGGTTAACTAGCCTGGTTGCAAGTAATGGGTGAGCAGCTCCCCTGGTGTTCAGGGAAGCAAAGAGAGAGGGGTGGGAGGCTCCTGCATGCTCAGTCCCTGGGATGCTCTCCCCACCCCAGACCCCTTGACGTTCCATCCACTAGCAGTGCCCTGGACTGGACCAAGTCTGTGACACATGAATGTTGGATTTCAGGCCCTTCTTAATAAGAGACAATGGGTGTGCATCTCTGTGTCAGGATTCAGTTCTGGAACTTCTCACTGTTTCTGTAATGGAGTGAGGACATGAAACTTTGCACCACAGAATGAGGACTCCAGGCTGGGGAATGTGTGTGTCCCCCAATACGTGTCCCCCTTTCGTGGCTCTCAGGTCTTTATGGCTAATGAAACTGTCTAGATTAGTACAGTGTCCCCAGGAAATCACTTTCTAAACTAAATGTCCTTTTGCAGATACAAAAGTCCTTTATTTCTGTTTATAGATATCTATCCTGGGAGTGTGGTATGAGATTTTTAAAATTTTACATCACTATTTCAAATAGTTGTGTTTACAGCCAGTTTATGGGACTTGGTGTGAGTTAGTAGGAATGTGGAAAGCATGCACACTGTGGGACTGTTCTAGGACAGGTGTGGCTGATAGGGCTTTCAGCGCTGACGAGCAGCCCTCTCAATGGGGCATAATTACTGCCTCTCTTGCAATGCGGACACCGTGAGTGTGTGTGGCAGTTCCGGCTGCCCAACGCTGCACATGCCAAGGCTGCAGTAGTGCTCACCCCTCACCACTCCTCTCCTGTGGCTCAAGGTCCCACAAGAGTGCAACCAAATGTACTGGGCTGGTCTGCTCCGGGCTCAACCAGAGATGGAAATTCTTCTAAGCTCACAGGTATCAGGAGCCTAGGGTCACTTGAGGGTCATTGGACCTAAGCCTTTAGTTTCCTACTAGTTTCTGCTGGAGCTGGGCCCTCGTCAGAGCCGGCAGGCATTAGACTCTCCCCACCTAGGAGCCTCTAGGAGAGGATTTGTCCTGCGGCTGCCCTTGGGCAGCATGGCCGGGACCGGAGGATGGGGTACTGGAGGAGCCTGGGAGACAGCAGATGGGGTCTTGAGGGAATGTGCTGTCTTAAAAGCTGCCCTAGAAAAGTACTGCCTCAGTCTGTGTGGCTCCAAGAGGCAAGACACAGAGGCACCAGGATGTGAGTGACAGGAGGCTGGTTTGGCCTGCCCCCATCCCTTTAGGGACCCAGAGGCCTCGGCATCCCACCGAGCCGGCTCCAGCCCCAGGACTGAGTCACCATAGCCAGCCTGTGCGCCTCACAACTAGAACAGGGACACCAAGCCGGTGCCCCCCAGAAGGCCCAGCTGCCAGGCCCTGGATCATACCAGAGGAGGCTGTGGAGTGGGATTGTGTCACCCTCTGAGGCCTTGGCTGAACCTGCCGTGCCTCTTAATGTCCTGGGACTGCTGTTTCCATTCGGTTTGGATGCCTGAGAAACCTCCACATTTCTAGGTTCAGCAGTGTCTGGGAGGCTGGGCTTCACAAACAGGACCTAGTAGGTGTCACAGCAAACCAAGCCAGAGGTCCCAGTCCAGACCTTTCCTTCCGAGCAAGACCCCCTGCTCCTGACAGGCATGCACATGTGTGCCGGTCTGTGGTGGGCAGGGGCAGCTGAGGAGGCGTCACTGCCGTGCGTGGTGACTGCAGAGCCACGGTCCTCCCTGCTGCCTCAAGCCTCTGGGTTCTTGTGAGCAGGGACCTCCAGAAGCACCACCCTGAGGCCATCTGAAATAGCTGTATCATCATAGAACAAACCTGGGAAGCGCCAACTGTGTCCTGGACACACTCAGGTGAGCTCTCAACAGTGCTGCTATGTGTTCCAGACCTCCCTGCTCTGCAAAGCCGCTATCCACGCAGGAGTGATCGCAGATGAGCTGGGTGGCCGCATCCACGTGCTGCAGCACCGAGGGCTGAGCCGCTACAAAGGAGGCCTGGCCAACGGGGTGCTGTCTAGGGAGTGAGTACCGCACCTATCTAGGCCACAAGGCCCTCATGAGCGAACTCGTGCTCTGAAAGGACAGCAGGGCAAGTGCCATGCTGCTGCAGCCTGGACACTTGAGTGCTGGCCAGCTTGGGTCTCGTAGGAAAGGCCCTCACAGCAGCGGAGAGGCCCTGGCTTGCCAGGTGGTGCCCACCTGGAACCTTGGAGCAGAGAGTGAGCACATGTGCTCATAGATGCTTTGGAAGCAGAGAATTCAGGCTTGTTCCTTTCTGGTTTTATAGTTTTGGTAAAGTCCTAGCAATCTCCCCCTTTCCCTAAGATACTGAAAAAGACAGCTTTGCTGATGTTGCTTGCTTCTTGGTTTGGTGTCATCTTGTCCTTTTGCTCAAAACCAGAAAGCAGAGTAGGTGCTGCAAACGTCTCAGCCCAGGCTTCCCACACAATCCAGACTCCCAGAGTGCAGAAAGTAGAATGCTTAAGCTGTGCAGGGCTGGGTGCAGGCCACATGGTGTAGATGCCCTTACACGCATGTGAACAGTTGGGAAAGGAAGGAAGGCAGCAGAGCTGCTCAGCGTCTCAGTCTCTGTTGTACTCTCCGGCCCTGGAAATGTCTTCCTGGATCATAACTCTGTTTTTTGGTTTCCATAGGTTTTGGTCCCAAGGGTAAAGGGATGGGGGACACAGACAGACAGGCTGACAGAGACACCATGGGCATTTTGAGACCTGAAACTGGGAAAAAGTTAGGACTGTGTGTTGTCACTCACTGCTAAGTGTGACCCTCTCTCCAGCTGCACTGTTTGCCCTCAGCCCCTCCTGGTTACATTTTACTGTTCTAGTCTCCCAGTGGGCTGTGAACTGACTTATCTGGTGAGAGCAACATTGTGGGTGGTAGACAGGTTCTTGGGGAGCCAGGTAACCTTACTTGTCAGCTGGACTGGATTCAAAGACTCCTGAAGAGGTGGTGGGATCATGGGGATCTTACCTGAAGCATGGGTTAAGCCACTTGTGTTCACAGCCAAATGTGTGTTTAGAACGTGGTTGCTGGGTGCTTCGAAGGGTCCTCCATGCTGGTGCCCCACCTACTCTATCCCCACCCCCTTGAGATGAGCAGCTCTGCTCTGCAAGCCGACCCATCATGATGTTCCTGCTTGAGCCAGCCTGCCGTGGACTGATCCCTCTGAAACTATGAGCAGACTGAACATTTCTGTAAGTTGAGGACGTTATGTACTTTGTGCAGCCACAGGAAAGCTGACTAATACAAGTTAGGCCACATAAAGTAGCCCAGTGTTCTTTTAAGAAATTATACAATAATTTTTCTCTTCCTTCTACTTTTTTTGCTTAAATTTTACATTGTAGTTCAGCAGCACCACAGGCCAAGCAGGAACCCTGATCCCAGTTATGATGTTAGTCTTATAGGAAGTTCTGAAGCCTTGTTTCAGGAGAGGGTGTTAGCCCAGATGCACAGGAGAAGGGTTAGAACTGGAGCCACTGTAAAGTAGGCCACGCAGGAATGATGGCTGAGGGCGCCCTGGAGGTGTTGAGGCCTGAGGAGGGTGCTGGAGAGGATCTGGGGCGGCAGAGCAGCAAGGGCAGAGCTCAGCCGGCAGGGTGGTCCCTGGGCAATGGAGAGGGCACTTTAGTCACGTGCTTCGTGGTAACGCGGGGGTACCGAGCGCGAGCCACAGGGACTCATCCCCCAGGCACAGGCACGCGCTGCACACCAGACACATGCACACAGACTCCCCATCCTTGCCTACGGCTGCTTCCTGCTTGCTGTTTTCTTCCTCGTAGGATTCTTAAGTGAAAGGACACAAAGTGGTCTTTGGTTTGGTTTGGTTCTGGTGTTAGTTTTTGGACAGGGTCTCACTATGTAGTTCAGGCTGCCTCCAAACTCATGGTGATACTCTCGCCTCAGCCTCCTGTGCTACCAGGCTCTTTCTCTTTCTCTGTTTCTTTCTTTTTCTTTCCAGTACTGGGGACTGAACTCATGGCAAGCACTTCCACTCAACTACCTCCTCAGGCCTTTGTAATCTGGAGACAGAGTCTTTCTAAGTTACCAGGCTGCTTTTGAATTTGTGATCCTTTCCTCTTAGCCTCCCCAGAGACCGTCTGGGATGGCAGAAGTGGACCACCCTGTCCTCCTCACACTCCTTCCTCCTACCTGAGCACTCAAACATCCAGTGATCTTTCAGTGCATGCCAAACCTAGATGTCTTCACCAACCAAAATCCCAAATGCATAAAGTTACACACACACACACACACACACACACACACACACACACACACACACCTGCTTTTCACGCGGTATCGTCTCTAGCTCTAGGGATCATCACTGTCTCCACCTGGGTGTGTGACAGAAGCAGGTCCTTGTGTACTGTGAGCCTCGGATGCCCCACCCAAGGCTGAGAGGCTGCTTGGCCCCACGGCAGGCAGAACTGGCTCGGGACCACACTGGGGTGCTGCTGTCTCTGCGGGGCTTTCCCTGTGACTCTCCTGCCTCCCTGCCATGTCTACGTGCTTCCTGTGCAGAACAGCGAGGAGCAAGGCTGACTGTGCCGCCCAGTTTTCTTTCCTGTCTGAAGAAAAGTCATTAAAGTGAGAAATAAAGGTAGACTTGATTCTCAGTTCCTTCTGTATCCACCAGACTTCTATGAAATGGAAACTGAGTTCTCGAGCTGGGAAGTAAATTTAGACCACAAGTGGAGGGGAGATAGCTTGGCTCTGTGGCAGCTGCCTGCACGGCCTTCGTGGGCTTCCTGGAGGACATGGTAGGGAGCTGGGACCTCAGCCTCTCTCAGGCTCAGGGCCCTGTGCTCCTTCCATGGGGCTTTTGGTCCCGTTCACCCCGCAGCATCCCCTGGCATAGGCAGTGTCACTGTCACCCGTTGTGCTGTCCACAGCTGCTGAGCCTGTGTCCTGCATGGGAAAAGCACACGGGTCCCACAGTGAACACTGGGGACCCGGGGCGCAGGCAGTACAGAGCACAGTGGGCCAGGGAGGCACAGGAAGAGACAACAGCCTTGTCCCCAGCTTCCCCTGTTTTCCTCCTCGTGCCTGGCTGGGGGTGGCTGCTTAAAGCCGCCCTCCCAGGGCCTCTTCCCCCCGGCTGTTCTCCCACGCATTCCGGGAAGAGTGGACAGATGAGGCAGGCATCTGCAGCCACGTGGCTGAGCCTGCAGACCTCTGCTCCAGATGATGCTCCTGGGTCAGCATGAAAGCCCGCATGGAGCCTTTGCTGTCTGCAGCAGGGGCTCGCAGGCCACACCTCAGGAGTCTGCTCAGGGTGAAATCTCAGATCCTGGGCGACCAGTGTGGAGACACTGTAGATAGCACAGGAGTTGTCAGGCAGCAGCTTCCTCAGTCCGGAGTGGCTCCTGTCAGGCTTGGGGTCCACGTTTACCTGTTAGGGGTGACCAGCAGTGGGCACTGGCGCTATGCTGGGAGCAAGCTTCTGGGAGCTTCCTGTGTGCACCGAAGTCAAGCGATCTCTGTTTCAGTAGTTGAGGGATGGAAGGGAAAACCTCGCCTGCACCCCTCACACCTAACACCTCTGCAGCTCTGCCCTCAATTCGAAAACAGGTTCTTCAGTCACTCATAGAGTTCACATTTGAGAATGCTTTCTCCGGCATGTCTCTGTCTCCATCTCTCTATTGCTCCCAAAGGGCAGATAATTCAGAGGCAAACGAATCCAGTCCTCTCAGACCTCAGACACTCTGCGTTTTCCTCATGTCTGTGTAGAACGAGGTCCTGCGGTTCTCAAGCCCCTGCCGTCTCCGTGCATCTCACCTGCTGAGGGCAGAGGTGTCCTGTGGAGACAGCAGCCTGGAGGCTGTGCCTCCTCCTCTCCCAGGCCCTTGCTTGTGGCTAGATGTGGCAGTGCAGGTGACTGCTGGCAGGGACTCCAGCCTTGGAGACCCGGGGGATTTCCATTTGCTCCTGGGATGAGTCTCTGCAGTTTGTTCCTCAGGCTATGTCTCTCTGGCTCCTTCCCCTCCCAGGGTGGTGGATAAAACCCAACAGGAGGCAGAGCCTGGGCCTATGAGCTGGCTGGGCAGGAGTCCTGGCCACACTGGCTGCACAGATGGGCTGGCTCCACGCTCACTCCTCCCCCTCACTCCTCCCCATCTGTCTTTGTCTTTGCAGTGGCTCCCTGTCTGGAAAGCGCCTCCTGTTCACCTCCAGTGGTAAGGAGCCTGCTCTCCCGAAGGGTGTGGGCCTTAAAGACTTCAGTGGTTGCTATTTTTGCAAACTCCAAGGACTATTATAATTCGACCTTTAGTCAGGTCATAAGGCACCAAATCGTTTGATTTAAAAATGTAGGAGACAATAAGCCTCAGTAGCATTGAGCAGAAAATGTCTTTCAGTACAAAGGGTGATAGAAAAATAGGGTGTCTGTTTAAATTTAATTTCAATAAATGTAAGCCAGGCTTGGTGACCCAGGCCTGTGATTCCAGCACTCAGGAGGCTGAGGCAGGAAGATGGTTGTAAGTTTGAGGCTCGTCTGGGCTACTGTCTCAACCCCACTCCCCAGTGTATATAGCAAAGACGCATTGCCTTGAATCCTTCTCAAAACCTTCCCCTTGCTCCAAATTCACCTCTCCCCACATAACTGCCACTTGCTGAAGCATTTTTGGAGTCGCCTTTCCGGAATTTCTTTATAAGGTAAGATGAAAAACACCATGAACGTGGCTGCCAAGTGCCATCCACTGGAAAGGCAGCTCGTGGCAACACAGCAGTGTCCTCACCCGTCTCACTCACTGGATCTTGCACTGTGTAACTTCTAGCTCTTCTCCAAAGTCTCAGTGACCATGAGCGGAAAATGTTTAGAGTCTATTCCGGACATCGAGGCAACCACACCAGTGGGACGTCACACTGAGGACAGAAGGCTCTGAGCCGCTGCCGAAGGTGGCAAGAACAGTGGATGAGTGCACCACATTCCCCTAACCCTTAAGATTCAGACTCCACTGTGTTTTTCAGTCACATCTCATATTGTGTCCTCACTCAAACTTGTTCGAAGAATGAAAAAGGAAGGAACACTTAGGATAAGGTTCTCATGTTCAAATTTGAAAAACCCTTTGAGTATCATCATTTGGTTTGTGGTTATCTTGATAAGATGACTGAATGAGATCAATAAGGGCCCCATAAAAGATTCAGTAAAAGTAAAGGCTTTCTCGTTTTTCCAGTGAGACATATTCTGGGGAAATATTTTCCTTCATCATAAAGTAAAACATCTCAAGGCAAGCAATCTGATATGTCTTCATTGCCCAGGGAGAGAGATACAGTCTTTATTTACTGCTCCCACACTGCCTGGGACCCTGGCCAAGTCGGGGCCTGAGGTGATATCAACACAGTGTCTCTTCCTTCCCTCTCCTCACCACCCTGGGGATGGTGAGGAGACCTGGATGTCCAGGACCTTTGCACTGAGCTGTATCCTCACACTTACCTTATTATCATCATCATCATCATCATCATTTTTATTATTATTGAGACAATATTTCACCAAATTGCCCATGCCAGGCTCAAACTTAGTTTTTTTTTTTTTTTTCCTTTTTTCCGGTACCGGGGATCGAACTCACGACCGCCTGCTTGCAAGGCAGGTGCTTACACCGCTGAGCTAAATCCCCAGCCCCCAGGCTCAAACTTAGGATCCTCCTGCTTCAACCTCCCAGAGTGCTGGACTCTAGGTGCATGCCACCTGCCTGACTCCATCTCCTCATTTTCAGTCTGGTCATGCCTGCTTTCCTAAGGCACAGACAGTAAGCATCCCTCTGTGATTCTTCTCAGAGAATCATTCTGATCCTTTAAGACCAACTGTGCCGAGTTGAAATCAGGTCAGTTTAAGAAGTTAGCAAAAAAACCTACAGTGGAGACAGAGATGCCAGAGACAGGGGATGGAGTTTGGGGCTCTGTCATGGCACATGCGACCAGTTTCAAGCACTGTCTAGCGGGCGAGTTTGTCACCTGTGCACTGCTTCCCCACTGGCTGCTAAGGGATGGCTTTGCATCGGGACGAGGCCAGTCAGCGGATCCTCCCACAACATGAGCTCTGTGGCTCATTGCGCCCCATCCAGCCTGTTTTCTTGCCCTTTGTTCTAGACTGCGGTGGAGCCCTGAGCTCAGACCCCTGGGTGCAGTTCCAGGCGTCCTCCTCCTGGCAGGGTGTCAGTGACACTGGACAGCCCGCTCTCTGGTCTCCTGGCCGAGCCCGACTGCAAGACCAAGGTCCATCGTGGGCTGCGGGTGACAGCAGCAGCCACGAGCAACAACAATGGCTGGAGATAGACCTGGGGGAAGAAAAGAAAATAACAGGTACTTTGGCGAGGGCCTGAGCTTTCATACGTGATGGACAGGTGATAGACAGCTCACTGACATCAGCCCCTCTGGCCCCAAGCCCTTAGCATCTTTCAGAGGTGTCTCAGAGCTGCAGCTTGTCACCACACAGAGGGCCTGGGGCCCAAGTCGAAGCACAGGTGTGGGAGCTGTCCTCGAAGCATGGCTAGGGCCAGGCCTCATCAGGAGGCCACAGAGCAAGCCAAGGCTTCCCAGGAGGACGAGAGGAGAAGAAACCCAAATGCTAATTCACGTTACGTGTAACTACTTTCAGAACTAACCAAAAAGCAATGTCTTCTCACAAGGAATTAAGACCACAGGATCCACACAGCCAGACTTCAACTTCTACGTTAAGAGTTTCGTGGTGAGCTTCAGAAGCAGCTCTCGATGGAGGACCTATAACGGAATCATGGGCCACGGGGAGAAGGTAGGAGCAGCTCCCAAGCAGGACACTGAGCAGCTCTCAGGGTCCTTGGGTCTCCATGCCTGTGCTCACTGGCATGTGAGCCATGTCAACCCAACCTTCAAGGCTGGGCATGTGGCTCCTGCCTGTGAGCCCCACTCTGGGAAGCTGAGGCAGGAGGATAGCAAGGGGTTGTGCCCAGCACGGGTAACTTAAGAGACTTGGTGAGACCCTGTCTCAGAGTAAAAAAAATTAGAAAGGCCTCATGCCAAAGCCAAATCCAACCCCCAGTACCTCACACAAAAAAACCCACAAACAAACAAAACTTTGGAGATCTTTGTGAGATGCCTGTATTCCTCATGTAGAGGAAGTGTGTTTCACAGGGCGGTCCCCCTACACCTCTAGTGGTGGATGTGGGGTGTGGACACTGCAGGCATGAGCTGCGGCTAGGGAAGTGGGTGGCACTGACCTGTGCTCCTGAGACTGCTCATCGTCAGCAGTACTCCGTTAATAAAGAAAGGTCACCACCAAGGACCTCGACAGGGCAGGCGTAGTTCCCCATCCAAAATGAAAGGAAGCAGAACACAGTGGCACCCCCACCACCCCCAAGTGGCTCCTCACACGTCCACTAGTGTCTGCAGAACCATGCTGCCCAGAGTCCCATGTCCCATGGGGGCACCTGACCCCGGCAGACCTCAGGAGCTCACTCCACCATCCGACCCCCCACACCGCAGGTGTTCCAGGGCAACACCAATTGCCAGGACCCGGTGCAGAACAACTTCATTCCACCCCTCACGGCCAGATACGTGCGGGTCCTGCCCCGTGCCTGGCACCAGCGGGCCGCACTGAAGGTGGAGCTCCTCGGCTGTCACATCTCAAAAGGTGGGGCCCTATGTGTTGGGGAGCCCTCAGTCCCAGTCCCCTCCTTTACACAGCACTGTGCCACACGGTCATTCCAACATCCCTTTCCTCTCAGGAGATGAGTCAACAGAATGGCCAGGATCAAGTCCAGACACTGGGCTCTCAACTGAGGGAGAGGAACTACCCACGGGGCCCAACCCGACCCCCAAGGAGGAAGGACCCCCTGCTGGAGCAGGTCTGTGTCTTGGCCTCCCAGGGGTTGACCAGCACCCTCCCAGTGGCAGTCCCATTGGGGGAGCCTGTCCAGAGATGTTTGTTCGTGTGCATGCCACAGGACACCTGTCTGCGCTACTCAGGGTGACACTTCAAGACAATAGCGGTCAGAAACAAGCTTACATGTCCTTCAGAGCCTGGGGAGGTATTTGGTGGAAAAGGAAAACAGCACATCTCCATAATAAAACACCCCCCAGACATAAGAAAGGGAGTCTTCAGTAGTACAGGAGATGTACCTGCACCTTTAATAGGAAAGTGTAGACCAGTTTAGATAGCTATTTGTGTTCGGAGGAATGAAGGGTGAACACACGTATTCTAGGATCTTTAAAGACATCAAAAAGTAGAATTTGGATTCATGTGGAGAACTGGAGAGGTAGGAGGGAGACCCTCCATTCCATGCCTTGTTATATTTGGAATTTTCAACTTGTAAATGTAAAATCTATTCAAGGAATGAACATTTTTCAGAAAATGAGAACTTTAGAAAATTTTGAAAAATTATACACATATAAATAAGAAAATAAGCAGCCCTCTCTCAGCATGGGTAGATGACCACCGTATCGCACTGTGTCTAGTCGCCTATTTGTACTTCCGAGGGGAGGCCACAGCAGCACACCCAGCTGTGGCGCAGACTCCTTGAACGGTGCATCTCCAGCACTTTGTGCTCCTTTACACAGCTGAAGAGTGCGGGGCTAATATCTTTCTGGTGTCTGCCACACCCTAGCACCGTCACTCAGCTGGGTATTTGAGGCTTAGAGACCCTCACAAGTGACCCCTGTGCCTTACATGATGGTGGCGCTGTAGGAGCCCCGGGCCTCCTCTTCACAAGCTACGTTTCCACCCTGAACAGCCTTTGTTTCCCTTCCTCGTGTGGTTTCCACACTTGCTGCCTCAGTGCCATTCAGGTGACTCCCTTCTTTAAGGTATCCATTCTGATGTGGGGACTTTGAAATGGACCAAGCAGCCATCTCATAGTAAATGTCAGCCCTGAGAACTGACACTGTGGAAGAGGAACAGATACACCTTATTTTCCCACGGCTTAGCCAGGATTTTGAGCCCTCTTCTCTAACCTTCCAGGATGAGAAAGTGCTCAGCATTTATTTGTTGTCCCTATGTTTTAAACAGCTGAAGACCTCCCAAATCCATGTTAAGTTTTGAGTCACGCACTCATCTTGCCATGGCTTAGCTTGTAACACAGCGGCTTTTGCTCTTCTAGGACTGAGCGTGACCACCGTGGCCACCCTGCTGGTCCTCCTGGGAGTCCTCCTGCTGGCTGCAGTGGGAGCCTTTGCAGCCTTCAGAAGGTAGGTGACTTCAGCTGTTAAATTTCCTGATTACATGAGCAATCATCAACCCAAGAAGCTTACTTTTCAGATACTTGTGTAGAAAAGGAGTGTGTCTTTCAAGTAAATCACTGGTTTACATTTTTAAAAACAGTGATAGAGTAGAAACTACCCACTATTACCTTATGAGCAATTCTTATCACTTAGAAACCAACATAAGCTCGACCAGAGCGCTGCCTCCAGGAGTCCAGGTGACCTCTGACACAGCGCTTCCCTCTTACAGCAGGCACAGCTTAGAACAAGCCTCTGACTTAAGTGATCAAGGGGACAGAGCCCCTGGTTTGTAAGGTTCCGGAGTCCCTTCCCGATGATAGCATGAATATTGCAGTTCAGTGGGCCCCCTGAGCCTGCCGAGCACTGGGCTTGGGTGTAGTGGGGCCCATGGTCAAGCCAGGGAGGCAGTGGGATGATACAGCCAGTGCTTTCTGTGAGTAGTCGGCATCGTCCTGCGAGGGGACACACCGTGACCTTTGTCATGAGTGAGGTCATTGCATGCAGCCCTTCGGCTTCCTAAGCACAGGACCGCACCATCTCCTTTAGCCCTGGCAGTTGCCCTGCAGAATGGCACTACCATGATCCCCGTGCCATGCATGTCATGCGCCATACATGTCGTGCATGTCACCGGGGAGGGGGCAGGCAGCCCAGCTGGCTCAGTACTCAGGGACACTTCCATCTTGACAGGAAGAAGAAGGCAGGAAATCCATATGCGTCTCCGGAAACTCGGAAAACAGGTTGGTCAGGGCATTGGCCCAGCTCATCCTGTCTCTGAGAGAGGGGTAAAGGCTTCTGCGTGCACCTGCGCCCACCCAGGCCCAGGGCCACTCCACCCCATGCACCCATGCCCTGCTGCAATTGGCGCTGGCATGCCAGGCCCATGCCGCGGGGCTCCCTACGGGTGACGGGGTGAAGTGTGATTTACATACTAAGCAAAGCAGATTAGCAGCCTTGACAATAAAATAGAGGAGCATCTAAAGCAACACCTGGGGTACAGCGGCCAGCGTCGCTGTCCCTGTTTCGGAGCTACCACTGAGTAAAGCAGGGTGGTCCTAACCGGGCGCGGTGGCTCACGTCTGTAATCCCAGCACTCGGGAGCTGAGGCAGGAGGAATCATTCCGAGTTCTAGACCAGCCTAGGCTACAAAGTGAGCTCAAGGCCAAGCCTGAACTGCCTAGAGAAACCCTGTCTCAAAAAGACCCCCCCCCCAAAAAAAAAAAAAAGCAGAGTGGCCCAGCGATGGTACTGTGCAGACCCAGATCTGGTCACAGGGTGTGCGGGACCACTCAGAGGTGGGGATGCCAGTGGGAGGATAAGACTCTTCCTTAGCTCCTCCTGGCACCACTTCAGAACTCAGTAATCATCTGTTTGGGGTTTTCCACGTGATGGCTTTAGACTGTGGTTGACAGGGTGCTTTGCATTTTTGGAAAGCTGGCGGCAGAGACGGGGAGGCTAAAGCCTTCCTGGGGAGTGAGCGGCTGTTCCCGCCCGCGCCGCACATGGAGGGCCTTGGTCGCGTGTGCGCAGCGTCGTCCTGGCAGTGGGCAGCAGGTTTTGCCTCTGGCGCTGAGGTCCCTGCGCACCTGTCACCGAGGAGAAGCTGTCCTGCCCCCTTGGGCATCCTCAGGCCTCACCCAGACTGGCGACTACGCCTGGCGCTTCCTAGGACTTGGGCTTGAAGGTTAGGGCTAAAGTTAGGTGAGCGTTTCCCTGGGTGACAGTGGCCTGGCGGGTCCACAAGGTGCAGCCAGGCATGTCGTCTCTCCGAGCTGCTGCCACCTTGGCGAGTGCAATAAGCTAGCTGGCCCGGCCACAGGCCGCGAGGGCGCGCCCCTGTGCCCCCGGGTGCTCACTTGCTGCGGCTCTTCTGATCCCAGGCTGTTGGAAGCCGTTCCAGCACCCGCTGGCCACACATCTATCAGCTGAGTTTACCATCAGCTATGACAACGACGACGAGGGCACAGACATCCAGAAGGGAGACCTCCTCGCCAGTGCTTTGGAGTGTAAGCGTACTCTCGGGTGGTGTCCCGGGAGGGCCGGGCAGAGAGGGCGGAAGGAAATCCAAGCGTGGGCCTCGATTTGCTCCTCCTCCTCGCCATCAGGGCCCGCCCAGGGTCCCGGCCTGTCCTGCTGCGCAGTGCCCTCTCCCGCCGGGTGGAGGCCGCAGTCTCTTCTGATGCCCCCTGCTTGTAGGTTACCAGACGCCCCTGGACGCCCTCGTCACGGACTCTGCCGCCAGGGCAGGATCCACCTTCCGGCCCATGGACGCGCATGAGTACGCGCTGCCACTTACGCGCGCCCGGCCCGAGTATGCCACACCCATCACCACACCCCCTGCTGGAGGCCCCGCCCCCGGATACCTTGTGCCAGCGCCCAAGGGGGACCTGAGCTACAACAGGCCTCGAGCCGGGAGTGCGGATGACCACGCACGTGGAGGGCCGGCTGCAGTGAGCCAGGCCACGGACCACAGAGCTGGATGAGTGACACCATTGACGGCGCCTCCGCCCCACGCGTGACACCGAGCTTCCACGGGTGCACTGTGCGATCTGTGGGCAGCCGTGTTTCTGTCTCGGGCGTGGGAGCGGCATGAGCTCGCACTGTGAGCCTTAGCCCTTGCAGGGTGCCACGGAGATGAGCACTGCACACCCCAGGGCGTGTCCTGACCTCGGGCACCGGGAGCCGTCCTCGGCGAAGCCCTTGGAAGCTTGGGAGGCACGTGGGGCCGGGCCCTCGCGACGTGGACCTGGGCCGCCCGGCCACGTGGCCCGGTGCGGACACGCAAGCCTGTGAGCAGCCTGGCGGGGTCTGAGTCCACGGAGGAGCCATAGTGGCCTGAGATGCGCTGTGACGAGAGCGACCCAGGCTGAGCCTAAGGGGCTCTGCTACCGAGGCGGCGGGCACAGCTGTCCTGGAGAAACGCGGCTCTGGGCCTCGGGTCTGGAGCCTTCCAGCGCCATCGGCGGCCGCGAGAGTTCCCTCTTTCACCAAGGCGCAGCGCGCATTTTGCTTTATCGAGAGCGCGGACCCGAAAGTCTGCGCTGAAAGCGCTTAGCACGGATTCCACGGTGGCGCGCCTCCGAGGCTCAGCACGGCGGCGGGCGCGGAGTGGGGCCTGCATCCCGACCCCATCAGGGGTTGGCGATGCCTTCCTCCTGCAGTACCGCCCAAGCCCTCTGCTGGCCCGACTGTGAACTGCGGCTACGCCTTTTTTCGTTTCCTCCTGCTGTCTTAAGGCTGGGGAGGAAGCCTGGCTTGATGACAGCTGGGTCCCTCCCCTGGGTGTCCCGAAGGATCCAGCGGGGCTCCTGAGGTGGCGGACTCAGGGCCCGAGCCTGCGGAAGGACACTCACCAGACGCGAGGGCCGCATTACTACAGAGCCAATCAGAAACTGGAAGCTTAGCCGCTCATTTGCATGTAAGCACAGCTAATCGAGGAGCACAGCTCCTGCTCACTATGTGTAACTGGAAGCCCAGCCGCGTCTAGTTGACCGGGCTCTCACTGTGAACACGCGCCGGTGACGACTCTTCCCCACATGTTATTTTCGGGCATTTTAGACATGCAGGGTCTGTTTCCCTCGTCCTTTCTGCTATCATGCTGCAGAACACCCTGCTCTAACCCTTTAATAAAGGGGCACTTCTGTCGCCTTTCCTCATCCAGTTCTTTGTTGGGGCCACCGAGGACACGGGAAGGAGCCCCCACTCTGTACCGAGAACTCGGAGCATCTCCCGCATGTCGCGCTGCATTTGTGCCTTACCCACGTGGTGCCGGAACCGCGTGGGGGCGGAGGCTTCAGGCTCAGAGGCCGGGCTACTCGGAGAGCTGGTTTTCCTACTCATCGCTTCTCAGATCCACTTCCTGGGCTGCGGGGGTGGGTCCGGCTGGACAGCAATCCTCCACAGGCAGCAGGCGGCTCCGTGGAAGGGGTTCGGAACCCAGCACGGCCCACGGAGGCTCCTGGAGCCCAGCAGCAGAGCTCATCCACACGCCCGAGATCAGGCAGGCTGGTTCAGGACTTTCATTGGGGAAATAGCATCAGCAGAGGCACAGGAAGGGTTTATTGGATTCAAATAAGTACATGCTCCATAGGAGAGCACAGGTGATCAGATAAATGAGACGCTGCAGTTTGGAATGGGACTGGATGTATTGTGGTGATAGAAACCTGTGGAATTTGTCACTTAGGTCTTGGTTTCGGGGCAGGGAGATAGCCCAGCCACATAAAGATCATGATTTGCTCATAGGAGAAAGCCTATTCCACAGTTAAAAGCGAAAAAGGCATTTGAGGAGAAAATATGGTCAAGCCCATTTGCAGGTGGCGAGGAAATTGCCCAAGTTTAGATGAGACAAATTTTAAACTGGGCTCAGGTCCCAAAACTGCAGTTTTTATTTTTGAAATTATGATTTTCTCTCTTTTCTACCTATTTTGAAATTTGTCAGTCCTGCTTCACTTCCTCTATGAGACTTCAACCCCTTAAAGGATGCATGTCAGTGGCCTACCTTGATTCCTGCTTCCAGCAAAGTGAGGCTCTGACCCTAACCATCGAGGACTCTTGTCCCGACTCCTCTAAAGGAGACAAAGGAATACCTGGTTGTGTAGACCTCAAAACCATCACTTTTCCATAGTGATGAAAAAGAGGGCAAAGGCTTATGAGACAGTAATCCACCAAGACAATGGATCAGGTAGCATAAAAAGAATTCCTACTATCCGAGTATCCATAGTATAACAGCTAGAAAAATAACGTTTTCCCTACCAACGCTGTTCCGGATAACCACAATAGTAGCCAGCCACTGAAGCTAAAGACGGAGTCTAACATTCACTGACTGTAAATGTGGATCCTGTTATGCAGAAGACACATTTGCAGAATTGTCAGGAATGTACTCAGCCTGACTTGCTAACAGTGTAGGCACCATCTGGAGCTGCTGTTAGGCTGTGTAGGGCCACTCGACTCTACAAAGGGGCTTTTTCATCATTTCTACTTAAAATTTTAGTAACAAAATGTGTTCTGAAGTATCACTGAGGCCCTTCGTGTTTAGTAAGAGGTTGAGTATGCCACATTACCTTCAGGTCTTGCTGGATGAATAAAATGGAGAGTAAATCATCATGCCAGTGAAGAACTACTCTGGCTCACCAATACCAAAAGACCGGGCTGCTGGCTGGTTGCTCTGTGGTTTTAACCCAGCACCTTGTATCCACGGAGAACCTCTTTCTATCTACCCTGAAGGCAACCGCGGCCTAGGTTTGTCCCAGAGCCCTGTACTACCTGGGGCTAGGCATCTTATCCCATTTCTTGCTTTCCAACCAGAAATAATCAACTGCTCCTAACACAATAGTGTAATCAGAGCTTTGTGTAGGAACCTACTCTACATTTTGGGTGGAGCTGCTCCATGTACTGAGAGTATGAGTTTTCTGTACCCAACAAAGGGTGCTTGCTGGTTGTTACCCACAATACATGCCAACCAGACGCCTTACAGACCTCCAATAAGAAGTTATTATTCATCATGCGAGTTTGAGGAGTCTGGATAGATCGAGATTTCTGTACTGCCATATCAATGTATTAATTATAGCTAAAGAAAAATTCTTCTCATGGCCTTTTTCATGAATGTCTCATTCATTGGCCATTGAGAGAGAGAGATCTAGTAGCAAGCTTCAAAAGTCCTGTTTTATAAAATTTTAGAATTAGTCATCTCCCTGTGGAGGGGATACCCACCACAGCTCAGGAGCACTAAAAGTTAACAACCATCCTTGAGTCCCGAATGCATCTTCGTTAATGTTCCTGGCATACTGCTGGGCCCAGTTAAGGAAAGCATCAGTTCTTGCACTAGAGAGTAGTATAAGAGTTAAAAAAAAAAAATAAACTATCCAACTTTGATTTGTAGCCAACATAGTATGGTTGTGAGGAGACACAGGTAAGCAGAATAAACTTACCTAATGTATCCCAAGTTGGTCTCCTTACTATTCTTAAGTAGTATCCACAAGTCCTCTAAAAGATCTAAAAGCTTGTCGAAGAGGTATTTATATCCTTTTTTGTTTTTGTTTTTTTTTTTGTCTTTTTCCTTTTTATCGGTACCGGGAATCGAACTCACGACTGCCTGCTTGCAAGGCAAGCGCTTATGCCGCTGAGCTAAATCCCCAGCCCCGGTATTTATATCCTTTGCGAGGGGCATCCAGGCAAATGCCAGCTGTCACTCTTCTCCAGCGAGGGTGCCTCGGCCTTTGCATTGGGTTACACAGAGGTAGGGCTAAGCTACTTCCCCTTGGACTGTTGTGTAGGCATAGGGAGCACGCCTTTGTGGCTTCCTGAATCATAGATTCGAAGCCCACCCCCACCCTGAGTATGACTGACCAAAATCAGTGTTTCCTTCCCTAAATGCATGAACTATACAACCCTTTAATAATTTTCTATTGATCAGCTTGGGGTTACAAAATTGCGATTCTCCTCTTTAATCCACTAGCATCCTTTGCTGGTTTATATCCTCACTGCCTTATCCACTAGGCTCTGAACAGGAAGTAATTGTGCCCAGCTCTGGGCCCAGGAGTATTAAACCCATCTTCAATGAATCTTTCACTGCTGCTAGTGGCACTATGCTCCGCTGAAGCACTTCCCCACATCATGGAGAATTTCTCTTCTGATGTCTTCTGCAGTCAGTGCCTCTAAGAGGGAATGAATCTCAGGTCTGTTCTCAATTGGGTATTTTTTCTGTCGTGTCCCCTCTCTCCATTGGCCACATGAGCAGGGAGTAAGAAAGCTTATCAGTATAGATGTTGATTTGCTTGCTTTTCCCAACTGTGAAGCCCAGATAAGAGTGATGAGTTTGCAGTGTTTGAAGAAGTAGCTGTATCTTGCTACTCTTTTGGAGGCTAACAATTGAACAGTAATTGCATAGTAGCTGCTCAAGTAAGAGCTTTCACGAATGAACCAGTCAGTCATTAGTAAGGGTTTGAGGACCTACAACTTGCTTCTGAAATGGCCCATCAATCCCTTGGGAAACTGGCAAACAAAATATGGTCCAAAAAACCTCATCCTGCCTCTGAGTTAGTATATCTAGAGTTTCAGTTGAATAATCTGGAAACGAGACAGGATTTTCTTCCTTAGGTGATACATCTTAATTTTTTCATAACTGACTTATTCATGCATTTTCCATTCCTTCAATCAGATAAGAAATCATATCACACTTCCTATGACTTTAATTTCCACTCTTATATTGCCCATCAGGAGCCCTTGTGAGTACATCTGTACCCACAATTCTAGTGCTATCTCAGGCATGTACTTCATCAGCCTGAGCTTGTGCTGCTGCCCATAAACGGGTTTTTTCTTCAGGTAGAAAACAATACTTACACCATCAGTTACAGTAAAAGCCTGGGACTTATCTGTGAATCTATCTGGACTCTCTGAAAACTGTTTCAATTTTTGTTTACTATGAGCCAGATCATTCTTGGAGAAGGGTGTATATAGGCTCACAACACCCTCTCTTTCCTCTGAGGCTTCCCAGAATGGTCACGTTCGGAAGTTTTCAAATCAGTGGGACAGCAAAAAGCACTGTTACACCAGCAGGGCTGGATTCCTTTTGTAATGGGGACAGGCTAAGGATGTTGGATGGGGGAAGTAACCCTGGGAAAGGAGGGAGTAGAGGAAGCAGCTGAAATAGGTAACAGGCCTTGCTCAGGAGCCTCTGAAGCCTCTTCGGGCTATGCTGCTGGTGCCAGAGGCATCTGGGTACTCTGTTTGGGGCATTTAAGAATTCAACTCTTCAGGGTCTGGATCCAGTTCCTATTGCACATGGGCATGACAAATTGTATGGAATGTAATTTTGGATCTTGTTACAGGGACATAAAAACTTGGAAACATGGGACTTCTGTCAATTTTTCTTCCTCCTTTAAAACTCAAGCTGGAATACTGTGTTAAAATATAAAGTTCTGTGCAGAGGTCAGCCTTCCCGCTTTCTAACTAAGTCCAAATGAAAATTATTTTTCCTTTTTTTTTGGTACCAGAGATTGAACTCACAACCTTGCACTTGCCAGGCAGGCACTTATGCCTGCTGAGTTAAATCCCCAGCCTTCCTCTTTCCTTTTTAAATCCTCCATTTTAAAATGGTCTGAGTTTTGTAAATTATAACCTAAAGGTGACATTTCAGAGCTAGATACCGAGTTACCCATCTCAAGTAATATGCACTTCATGCCTTCAAGATCTCCCTTGTGTGCCTCTATTAAGAGATTAAAAAGGGAAAGCAGAAGCAAGACAGGAGGTGGCAAGGGAAGATCATCCCAGGCCAGGGTTCCCACATGAAAACTGTCCTACTTTCCATGGGGAGAAAGCAGTCTGTCCTGCTTTTGTCAACACTCATCTGAGTACCTCTGCCCATCATAAATCTCTCGCACACATCCAGGACCTGTATCCTTGTTCCTGGCACCCAGCTGTTCTAACCTTCTTCAGCAGATCAAAAAGGCAGGAAAAAAAGTTGTACACAACAGCTGAGCTTTACTCAAAAATCCACCCCTACGCTCTATCCAGGGACCTGTCACATATGTAAGGACCTCCTGGAGGCTTTCAAAAACCAGGAGGTTTCATTTAGGAACTCAAAATCACTTATTACCTTATATAGGGAGATAAACTTGAGGCTACAGTTATCTAAGGATGTCAGAACCAAACAAGGTAGAGTGAGAATTCAGGCTATAATCACAGAAGTAACCCTGTGAGGCCCCAGGAAAATGAAAGGCAGGGATGGACAGGTGGCTCAAGGGCAGGGAAGGTCACAGCGGACAATCAGGAAGAGCTGCCTGGAACCCTTCCTGAGAGCGGAAGGTACTCCTGTAAGCAGGAAAGTACGAGCCCTGGTCTCCCCTTCCCCACTACCGACATTGGCAGGACACACTCAGAAGTGTTCCTAGAGCCAGGACGAACTGCCCAAGTCCCCCTACCTCTAGACGCTCCCTGGCTCTCTGCAACTGTTACCAGAAAGCAAAAGAGACAAGGAGGCTGTTTTTTGAAGGGGGGAGGAAAAAAGGATTAACAGGGCTCTCCTTTTATACAACGTGTTCAGGACCCAAAGACATGCGATTTTAAGTAGCTCGCTTTCTCTGGTAACACCTCGAAGACCATCTCTGGACTATGTGTCCTGTACCAGTTATATAAAACTCTGCTCGAAACACTAGCTGGGTCTATCCTTGCATCTCCCTAGTAAGCCAATTTTAATTCCATCTGATGTAGGAACCAGGCAGGCTGGCCTGAGGGAATACCAATGCCATTCTGCATCATGGAGATACCTACACCCCTTGTCCATTTCCAGTTAGACAGCCGGAGCCTCTCATCTGGGTGCTTTTACAAGAAAACCCTCACTTCTATAGGGACTCATGAGCCTCTAGCCACTCTACAGGCTGCACAGGCTTGAAGCAAGGGAAGACAGTACAAGTGGCGTAAGCTACGTTTCTGAGGGCAAGACTGGAAAGCTGGGAAGAAAAAAACAAAACATCTGCACCTGGACTTATCAGTCATGGTCCCCACATCTTTCTACCTCCTGGCTGGCTTGCCCAGAGGACTCAAGAAGAGCCACGTTAAGGAACTGAGCTAACCCACCAAAAACAAGCCAGCAGGTTTGCTGACTTCCATGGTCGAAAAGGATTTCAGAATCCATCAGTGGAGGCATGGGAAAGTTTTATTAGGCAGAAATTTAAATGCACATCCAAGAGTGGAATGTGGGCAATCAGAGATGTGCTACAGCTTGAACTGTGAATGTGTATGTGTTCTAGTGACAGAAACCTGGGGAACTTGTCAATCTATAGTCTAGCTTGATATGGAAGGTGAGAGAGGATGGCCCACCCAAGAAAAACACTGGTCTGTTCCTGGGGGGGAGTCGAGGGCTGTTTCACAGGTGAGGACAGGGCCTAACCACAGGTGGAAAAAGGTTAGGGTGTGTGTGTGTGTCGAACTCATTTGCAGGTGAATTGCCCAGGCCTAAAGAGTTTAAAAAGTTTAAACTGGGCTTGTCCTGAAACTCCAACTTTTATTTATTTTTATGTTATTTTTTGAGAAGGATCTTGCTATGTAGCTCAGGCTGGTCTAGAACTCAGTATGTAGCCCAGGCTGGCCTCAAACCTGTGATCCTTTGTGCCATTAAAAAACATTGTAATTACTGGCAGAGAAAGACTGCAATCTTGTAATTTCATCTACAGTCCTTCTCCCCTCTTTGTCATCTAATAAAGTAGAATTAAGCTCTGACTCTCACACTTACTGTGATTCTGGACATGATATAACTTCCCCTAATATTCACATTTGCCCTTAGACAGTGTGACATATGTAATAATGATCTTTAGATAGCTGCCCTGCTCCCTGAAGGTTAATGTCCCATTTGGAATCTACTCCCCTCTCTTGGCATTTTACCAGAGTTTACCTTTCCAAAGCATACAACCCAAGTTCCAGTACTGTACCTGCTTCTCACGTCTAATTCCCTTTTTACTTGCCAGTCAGTCCATTTAGAAAGTCCTTGACGAAACCTCCCAGTCCCAGGGATTCTGTGGCACCTGCAGCTTGGCCACCTTAGTCCTTGCATTGCAGTCCAGGCTTCTTCAGATTCCCTCCAGGTTACCAGTGCCATACTCCTGCAGGTCACAAGACCTGGCACAATGGTGGCGAACCTATGGTACATGTGCCACAGTCAGCTCCACCAGGTTGGTCATCACTGAACCAGCAGGAACCAGCAGACACTGTTCTTACACTGTTCCCCACTTTATTCAAAGGCCAGCATCACAGAGCTTCTTGGAGAACTGCCCTCCATGGGGACATTTCCCTATGCCATCACCTGTGTCTGGGGCCTCCAAAACCACCCTCACTCACACTGAGTGGTTTGCTAGAGGGGCCACAAGTTTAAACACAAGACCAAGCCTGTAACTACTATTTACTACAGAGAAGATCGCCAGGTAAGGAGAAAGGGCACCTTCTCCACAGGAAACCAGGTGCTTGCTCCAAATCCTGCTCTAGTGAAGTGTTAACAGGACGCAGCAGAGATCACAGGGAAGCATGGCTATCTGCTCTCAGGAGGGCTATGACCTGGGCACATCGTGCCCAGCAGCACCATAGCTGCACTGTCCCAGAAGGAAAGCAAGTGCTCAGTGCGAACTGTTTAGGCACATGAAACCAGCCACATCTGGGAGAACATGTTGGGACCACGCTAGCAACCCATGAGGCTGGGTATATACAACCAAGGGCTGTATGTACAGACAACAGGCTCTGTCACCCTGCGCCCTTCTCTGGGCACCACCCAAGCATGACACGTGCGGAGACCACACACAGGTGCTCTACTTACCCAGCAAGACGTCATCCTCTTTCTGTCTAAGCAGATGAGCCTGCTCCCAAGACCCAGACCACTGCCTGCTTTCTGCTTCACCTGTGCAAGCCCAGTCCTCCTAGAAGTAGACACACTGACACCAAGCAGCGGCAAAGCATTGTGCTAGAGCACGGCAGGAGTGATGGGCAGGGAGAACAGCAGTGTACCTGGAGGCAACCCAGTCACAGGGCTGGCAGGACCCTGAGGGAGGGAAAGAAGCAAGTGCAGCGGAGAGGGAAGCTCAGCTCTCAGGGCGGCTGGTAGGTGTGCCAGAAGCCTCCAACTAGGTCATGATCAGCAACCAGCTGGTGGCAGCAGGAAGAGGGGCAGCCATACCCGAACACAGAGTGCACCAGGGTGATGCTGCTGGGTCTCAGAAGCCCATGCATCTCCTGCCACCACCATGACAGTCATGACACTGCTTTCTATATGTATCTCAAATAAAGAGCAAACTGGGAGACAGGTAGTAGGGAAAAGTTCAAGTGTTTCTCCAAATTAAGTAATGCATTGCTTTAAAAATATTTATATATGCTGATTTGTTTCATTTATATTAATAGTTTACATTAATTCATTGAGGAGAAAGTTAATTATGTTTCTTTTTTGTAAAACTTTTTATTTTATGTCTTGCAGTGAGTAACTTAACTTTGAAGATAATGATACACAGTGGAAAAGATTACCAGGAGCACATCTCCAACAATTTGCAAGTTCTTTTTTTAAACAGTTAGTTATAAGATCTCTAAAACACACTGACTGACATGAAAACCAAGTCATCTTTTTCCTTCTTTTGTACTGGGAACTGAACCAGGACCTTGTGCTTACCAGGCAGGCACTGTGCCACTGAGCTAAATCCCTGGCCCCTAAGTCATCTTTTAAATTTCATGAACTCAACAAATTATCCTATGAGGATGAATTCTGAAAAACTTTTTTCCAAATAATCTGGTAAATTGGGAACTTATGCCAACATACATAAAGCAACAAAATCGTTTATATAATGACAAAAACCAAATACTTTATGTTCAAAATTCATTTTCTAAAATAATACATTTATGTTTTCTAGAAAGCATTTTATACATAATTTGGAAACAATTCTAAGTTATGTATACTTAAATACTAAAATGGAAGAATATTCTCTTAAATAGTAATAGAACTGGTTTCTAATTTTTATCAATGTTACCCTGAAATTGGCTGTCAGGTTTCTAATGTAAAACTCAGTCAAGCAGACCAAAGTTTTTTTACCCTTTGCTAAGTTTCTACAGAAAACTGGCCTGACAGTTGCTCTGGAAGTTCTTTCAACAGATGTTTTCAACTAATTCATATTAAAAATTTCTTGCCATTAAAAGTTAACTCCAATCCTTTCCAAAATCCAGCCCTAGCACAGGGAGCAGGTCAAGCCTGTGTATGGCCTTTAGTTGGCTGGTGTGACCTGGAATAAACAATAAACCAAAATATACTTCATGTGAAAGAACAAAAAAATGTTTATTTTTTAAAATGAGACCCATACTGTTTTAATGTAGGCGATGTCATCTTTATTTACAGGCTAATAAAAAAATATTGAACTCACCTAGATACAACACATCTGATAGATCTGAAGCCGCCCCTAGAAGAAGGCTGGCAGGTAGACAGCAGATCACAGAACGTCAAGTAATGTGCAACTTGCATTGAACCATCGGTCTGGCTTCTAAGTATGAAACAGTCAGTCCACAGCGGTGGGAAAAACAACTGGCACCAAGCTGTGCTAACTTTAGGTAACTTCAATTTTAAATGCCAACACTCACAAAATTTCCATCTTTCTTGCATGTGTTTTAGCAATACTGTATTCCATCACACTCCTACCAGAAATACTGGAGATGAGAATCTAGGTTAATAGTAAATATATATATATATATACACACACACATACACACATATATATATGTATTTATTTATTTTGGACACTCTCAACAATTGCTTTTCTATGTTAATTTTTTCTTTCCCTTTTTCACTGTTCCTTACCTGTTTGGCTTTTTCCCAGAAGTCTCAGTATTATATGAATTTTTTTCCTGGAAATGTGGAACCACCAGAATTGGTTTGCACTTGGGCCTTTGGGAAAAGCCTGTAACTACAAATCCATTCCCAGGATGATGTGTGTTTTCTAACACAAGTGTGCAGCAAGCTGGGTATGACACACAAGGCTCACAGTGGCCTCGGAATGCACGAATACTCACAGGAGACAGACCAAAAGGGAGCGGCTGTGTGCAAACCTACCATCTGCTGTCAGCTGAGGGGGGAATTTCCATCCTAACCATTTCACTCGACCCTTTGACTGACAAACAAACTCATGAAAATCCTAACGCAAGGTCTTGAAAACCTTTTTAGACCTTCATGTACTTCCTGAAAATCTAAAGAGTACAGCTCACATTTGCTATGGGCTCAGGCCTAGTGGACAGGATCTTTCCAGAAGAAATGCCATGGTCAGTCCACTCCGTCGTGTTTTAAGATAGTAACAGCGTGGTTCCGTATGTCCAGCCCTGCTGCGGTCCCAGTTTTCCTTATTAACAAGTACACAGGCTAAAATCCAGTCTGCTGACCTTATGTATGTCTGGCATGGGGGATGCTAAAGAAAAGACAAGCTATTTCTTAAAAGAAGCTTAACCCCCACCCCTGTCAGGAAAGAAGAACAGTGTACAACTTCCTTATTCATTAAATACTAACTCCTGCTTAGAGGCAATATTATACTACAAAGTATTTTAATATCAGTAACAATATACACTATGAAGTGCACTTCTAGTTGCAAATTAACACGGTGATATACAGATGCATAAAGCCACCCAAAACAAAACCTAAATGAGCTACAGGTAAAACAAAAATTTATAAATAGCAAAATCATGAAATTAAGTATATACAGTTTATAAATTTGACTTTGAACAAATATATAGTGCATCTGGGGAAGACAAGAAAATGTTTCATCAACATAACATCTAAATACTTGAAACGAGACACTGATAATATTCTTAAAGCCATACAGACTTTCTCCCCCTCATATACCCTTAAATGTTTAATCCTGTGAAACGGTGACAGAAGCAGCAAGTACCACCTCTTCAAATGCAATGTGGAACAGCAAGTGGAGAGCGGGCTCCATGCTTGCTCCTGGGATAAGAGAAGGAGCAGTGGTGCGCACATGCACGCCCTGCAGTCACACAGGCACTAACATGAGGAGCATATGGCTCAGTGACTGGCTCTGTTCTGGCCGCACCAGCCCCAGTTGGATGGGTGACTGGCAACCCAGTGCTGAGGCAGAACTGCTGTTTACAACAGCTCAGCATACTTCAGCCTTTCCTGCCAGATACCTTATCTTCACCTGCCCAGTTCATCACAAGACAAACTTTACGAACAATTCAAAACATAAAACTCTTTCACGGTCCCCAGAAAATAAACACTTGAGACTAAACATTAATAATATAATGTTCCAATACCATGCATACAGATCAACATAATTGAGAACAGGTATTTTATACTCATCTCCACTTCCTTTAAAACCAAAAGTAAAATTTAAAGTAACTTCAGAAACTCTTTCTGGTGCACCACTGATTTATAAAGGATTGCTCAAAGAAAACTATTTTGTATTGCATGGAACGAGGCTAGAAGGCAAACCTACTAAAATAAGTGACTATAAAGAATTTATGTATCAGGATGCACAATAAAATTTTTTTAACCCTAAAGTCATTCTTTCTTATAAAAAATTAAGCCTACATTTCTCTCCCAGCATTGTGCAGACTCAATTCATGGAGTCAATTCTGTCCTTTGAAACACCACAGTTAACATTCTGAAATATATAATGTGAACTCCCTTATTCTCGTGAATTTAATGGTTGTTTTTCACAAAATTGCAGTTGGCACTGTCCTACTCCCAAATAAGAAAAGAAATCAAATAAAATAGTAGTGCTTCATTTGGTACCTAAGAACCTAGAAATACAATATTCCTTTGGGAAACACATGCTTTGGTGCTTACAATTCCAGGTAAACCAAAAATGCTTTACATGCAATAGCTAATCGTGGGGTACCACAGAAATGGGGGTTGTGCATTTAGAACTGTTTGCATGAAGCCCTGAGGTACCTGCCTTTCTCTAGGCAACAAAACAGCCTCTCTTGACCCAGGATGGTCTTTGTCACCATTCTCTAGTGCCCCCAATTCAAAACAGTCTGGCGAGCAATCCTGTCTGGAGATGTAGATGCTCAGAAAGACTTTTTATGATACAGACCACTGTGCAGGTCATCTAATTTCGAAGCAGCATCATCTAGTGGAGTCTCACTTGAAGTCTCCAGGTCTCCATTCTCCTGGGCATCAGTGACTGTCTTCTTATTATACCCTGCAAGACAGACAAAAGAAAACAGTGAGTAATACCTAGTTTAAAAATATACTTCGTTTTATAGTTTTTACTGGATAAAAACCAAAGAATGCTCACTGTGGTCAGTACCAGGAAAACAAAAATAACAAACTAACTATCAGTAATATCTGTCAAGGGAATTTTTTCACATGTAATGGTAACACTTAAGTCAACTATACATATATCCAAAATATGAATGGATCTTTCAACCATAAACCATTCTGCAGGGTCATCTATCAGTCATTCACTGAGTGTGTAGCAATGCTAAATGCTTTGCTGTATGAAAACTCGCATTCGTCAGTATCACCACAGATCCGTGACAGTAGTGAGTTCTGAGGTACTGGGGGGCTGTCAAGGGCACAGTGGCTGATGGATGTTTTACAAAATTCTGAGTTTCCCCAAGAGCTCACATTTTATCACTGGCAGGAAATACCATCTGCTGTCTTCCTAGAAATGACAAAAATTTGCATTCATTTTTAAGAAACTGACCACTGAGAAGTCTGGATGACCATAATCTGTGTCATTTTCGCAAGAATCATCTTCCCTGACAGAATAGCAAGTTCTACAGTCAGTCAGGTGGCCCTGAGACTAGCATCTCTGTGCAGTGCGGGAGGAGGGCGTCGTGCACCCTGGTATCCCAGCGCCCAGTACAGGCACACGCTAGGTGATATTTCATAAAATGAGCAGTTTTTGCATTTTCATCACATATGGCTATTTTACTGAAGAAAAAAAGTTCTTACTGTTTCCTCAAGGGTATGTTTCAATAGATTACCATTTTCTTTTCCTTCTGTGTGGGTGACAAGGAAGAAAGTCACACTTGCTGCTAGCCTGGGTGCCATGCATTGACTACCCTCAGGGACCAGCAGTTCTGCCTCAATTGCTTTTATACTACAGGTGCAAATTCCAAAACAGGAGTGAAGTCTTAACATTATTATGACTCCCAAGACCCATGAGTCCTAATTTTCCAACCACTGCTCTGCATAAGCAGCTTCTTCAGACCCCACGTGTGACTCAACTCACTGTATCTAAGAGCATAATCAGCTACATTAAGATAGATCTACTCTAAAAGCCAGGGGACTCTTGTTTCTGTCTGGATGGTTGAAATTTTCTTTATCTTTTAAGGACCTCAGTAGCAGGGAGACAAAATCTGAGCATGGCTACTGGTTTACAATAAAACCATGAGTAGGAAAAAACTATTCATTTGTTGGTTTCCTCCTCCTTAACACATTGTTACTACAGAATATCCAAAGCTTTACCTCTTGAAAAGGTACAAGCAATGCACATATTCACAGTAATTTTCAGTGAGTTCTACCTGGGAACACTTTGACTTCCCCGCTGGTGTCTTTGCAACTAGCACTAGGGTTGCCGCCGCCCTCCAATTCATCCAGGTACAGACGATAACGATGCCCGCTTTCATCCTCATACTCCACATTCTCGTCATCAGAATCCACTTCAGGAGCCACGTACACCACTTCAAACTCAATCTCGCCTCTCTAAAGGAGGGAACAAATGGAGGAAGTCCAACTGTTATCATCATATGCCAAAGGGATCTTCAAGACCCTTGGAGGTAGGCTCAGTGGTAAGAGACTTCAGAAGTTGCTCCTTTGCAGTCCAAAGAAGACACTCAACTCTTGGGACAGCTCGGGGCCAAGAGACCATGACCTCCAGACCAACCCTGGGAATCTGCTCTGCAAATCATCTTATCTTACTCCTACAGTTCTACTAGTCACATTATGTTCTGTAAATAGATCTAAAATTAAAAAGGATGCTTAACTAGTCATAGAATTCTGGAAGAAGTATTCAAAGTCATTTTGCAATGTTGTGCTGTTACATGGCAAATGAGAAAATCCATCTAGAAACTGGATGTTAAGTTAGCTTGTGCATAAGGACATCATATGAACTGTCTGTACTAATTGAAGAAGTCCCTATGTAATGATTTATCAAATAAATCTTAAATCTTTCCGTAACTTTCAAGCAAGGACCAGACACGGCGTCAGTCCAGACAGTGTGTGTAGCTGCACTGTGGTTATCGTGTCTGGATCCTCAGAACAGTCTCATGACAGTCTCTGGCAGGACTCAGAAACCCCAGTGAGCACACATGAAAGTGGGCACTTGCCAGACAGCAGGCTGACCAAGAATGCACAAGACATGCCAGCCCTAAGTCCTTGCTCTTTCTCTGTGCTACACTAAGTTGTAATTTCTGTACCGTTACTCTTTAATAACGCCTGTTTGCACAAGTACAATATTACTGGTCACAGTATCAGAACAATTTCAAGCTGCACTTGTCATTTCAGAAGAAGGAATAACCACTGCATACAAGTCTATGGCTGCAGCTCACGCAATGATGGCCTTTGCTCAAAATGCCTTTTCTGAATGCTCCCCTCCAGGTGGGCCCCTGAGGTGTTTTCTTCCCAGCTTCAATGTTGGCAAAATCATGCCTGATGGTTGTGAAATGTGCCTTGGTTTCCTTTATGACTGCCTAGGCAGCCTCCTCTTGGCTATTAGATCACAGTCACATATACTGAGAAAACACAAACTTACACAATCCTTTATCATCAGATGATGTATTAAAATACCACTGGGGGAGACAAGTGATAATACAGTGATCTCCCATGAAGTTCTAGAGAATAGCAGCTGTCTGTGGTTGGACAAAGGCTGCAGGTTGAATGTGAAGAAGGGATTTTTTAAACAATCAGCAGTGCACAGTAATGCAGTGAACAGTGCTGCTTTAGCATCAGTATGTCTTCCCTTTCACTTCCCACAACTACTCAGACGCTGCTGCTGCTGAAGAACCTACTCATCATGTCGAGCTGAACCAAGAGCTACAATCCCACACCCTACTAAGGTTCAGTCTTACACCAGATACTCCACTGGTGATCCAAAAATGTCTCTAGATACAAATCTCACTCTCTCAACCTTATTCTCACCAGCATGAAAAATAAATGTCATGGTTTGTGTCTAGATGTCCCCTCAAAGTCTCACACAGTCACAGGTGAGGCTTTTCAGAAGGGGCAAGATCTGCAGTGTGTGATGGCTGGGCTTAAGGGTGTACGTCTACTAAATTAGCCCATTAATTGGCATGGCACAGTTCTGCTAGAATGAAGGGTACCCCACCTTGAGTGGGAGTGCTACCCGCCTTAAAGGGTGGTAGCCTGCATACAATACAAAGGGGCAGGAAAAAAATCCATCATTTGCTGCCTGTTGCCTTCTGCCCACCTGCTCTGCGATGCCCCTCTGCCATGCCACCCCATCTTGCTGTCAGCCAACCACAAAGTGAAACCTCTATGAACTGTGAGCTAAATAAACTTTTTCTCCTTTCACTTTGGGTGTTGGATATTATCTCAGCAATGAAAAAGTAACTAAGAAAACAAACAACTTTAAATATTCTGGATAACTTGGATATGAAAGCTCATTCTAAACTTTAGTTGCTCTGCAACTATGAATAAATCCTTAGTCTCTAACAACTTGAACTGACTCATCTTCAAATAAGATAGTTAGGCTAGATGATGTCTAAGGACCCTGTCACTTTGATATTCTACGAGCAAAATCTGCCCACTTCTGGCACTATCTTCTTTATGCTCTACTGTATCTGTAGTGTCTCTGTGATTACTGATGTGGTTTTCCAAGTACTGTATCCTGTTCCGGATACCAACACATTCAGTCCAGCTCTACTTTCATCCCTACCACACCAATGAGAAACTGTAGCACAGAGAACATAAGTGACTTGCTCAGTAATGTGCTCACATGAAAGAGCAAACAAAACAGTCCTTTGTCTGTAGAATCTAACCAATGTCATTATGAATTTCCAAATCAAAGGAAATAATGCCCACCTACAAACACTTTCCTCGTCAATAAACTTCACTGGAACACAGAAACTGTTTATGAGGACACAAAGGGATCATACCTGCTGGGAAAGGATGGCTACAGCTTCTTTATGCTTTGTGTCCCTCAGGTTAACTCCGTTGACTGCCAGGATGGCGTCCCCAACATGTAGGCCTCCACATCTGTCAGCAGGCTGCCCGGGGTGGATCTCAGAGATGAGGATTGGAACACCATGCTCCTTCCCACCCTAACAGCAACAGAAGTCTGTAAGTCAGTTTACACACTGCCATCTACAGCCACAGGTCATTCCAGACATAAAACATTTTCTTAAAAATACTTTTCATTAAATAGTTATACTGTCCCTGTAAGTGCTGGGTGACGTGGTATTTGCTATACTGGTCACAGTAAATAAATCTAATGAACATCAATGAATTACCTCCACAGAAAAGAATTCGTAATTATGCTTTTTTTCACACACATTCCAGAGTCACAAACATGTCAACATAAACAATAGTCCTAACTCTTAAATATGAATAAAAATACTTACAGATTAGGACTACACAGCACTATATTATCAAATCTAAACTGCTACGTATAGTAAGAACAATTATTTAATATACCAAAAAGCTGTAAGATTTCAGATGAATTTTCTGAATATTAATGTGATTGACAAAACTAAAAACAGCCAAGTTTTAGAATGCTGCCCAATAGAACTGTCTGTAAAGGCAGCAAACCAACAAAAGAAGACGTAATGCTTAGACCCGGTGCCAAAGAAACTTAATTGTTAAACATGAAACAAGAAATTGTTAAATATGAAACAAGAAAATCTGTACCTAGAGCATTATCCACAGGAAAAAACGGCCATTATCTGGTCTTAAAGGCTTCCACAAGCATCACAGTATCTGATACAAGACTATGACTTGGGTCATAATGAAAATGCTAATCCATTCCACAAAGGAGCATTGAACAACTGTCAGAAGATTCACATACCAAGAAAGTACACATAAGTGCTGGCACCCAGATGTTGTTAGATGCCTGACTTATCAGACTGTGTATCCAGAATACTCTGTTCCCACACTATGTCCTCCATGGGAGCAGGGCTATATCAGATTACTACACAGAGAAAACTAAAGCACTACTTCTTACTGTAATTGAAATGCCGAGGCCTTCATGGTCTTCCTTAAGCAGAAGAACTTTTCTGATGGGACCAACTCCTTGGCTTTTCTTTAAAGAATCTTGATCCTTATTGAAAGGGAAAAAATTAGTATCAGTTAAGTCATGTACCAAATAAAAGTACTCTCATGCTGTATTATTTGCTTTTAGAAATCTATTACTTTCTTGATATAGAGTACAGTATTAACATACTAAAGTAGAAAAATGAAAACATTTTGTTAATATGGTAACATTTATAGATTATTCTCTCTTATCAATAGTTTTTTAAAAATACTAAAATATTGATACATGTCTTTATATAATAGGACATTACAAAAGAAATTATCACCAGGAATTAATCAAACAAGTGTCTTCCAGGAATAAAAGTGGGCAACTACCTATTCGCTAGAAAGTATCTCAAAAGACTTACATCAGTTTCACCTGGTTTGTAGGGATGAAAACACATTTGCAATGTGATCATTTCTACTTCTGTCAGCTCTGTGATCACTACCATTGAGATCCAGGGCAAACCTGTGCCACTGTGCAGGTTTCTACCCCTGGCTTCCCATTCTTTTGCTTTATACATACTTGCTCTGATGTGTGAGTCAATTCCAGTTGTAAGAGAGGAATGAATGGTTTTTCCTAAAACTCCAACTCAAGCCTCCCCTCCTGAATCCTGGTCACATGGCTGTTTGGATGAGGATCCTGAAGTCCCTGGCAGCTCAGGCATCTGTATAAACATCTGACCTCGTCTTTCCCTTCCGAGCTTCCTTTTTATTCTATTCCTTTTCTCCATGGGAGTTGGATCACTCTCAGTTGGCCAAAACAAAACTCTGGATACTTCCTTCTCAAAGACTTAAGCACTCTTGTGCTCCTGGTTCCAATTCTCTAAAAGCACTTCTTCTGACATGCTGCTTCCCCTGCCTTCATCACTTTCTCTGTGGAATACCACAGTATCTTTCTGACTGGGCATATTACAACAGGGTTACACTATCTCACTTAAAAGCCCCAGATTACCAGGGAAGTCAACAATGCCTTGTTAGTATGAAATAACTTTGGCTATCTGCTCACTGTATACAATCTGTCTCTTCCTTAGCGACTTTTATCACTCAGAAATCACAACACTGACTACTGTTTTCTGAACCTCTATTTTCCCAAACTTCCACACCTACACATGTATGGTGTGACTGATGCCTTAGAGGAGACAATGGGGTAAACCTCTTCCTCTTCCAACAATTCTATGCACACCTCAATTTTTCTGTGGTAACTGCCACAGAGGCAACAACACTAAGACACACAACCCACAAGGCCAAGGCTAGACGTGCTTTCATATATCAAGCTCTGGGCTATCAAGCATCTGCCATCATGAAGGGCTGCAAAGGCACGTGTCACAGAGCCTGTTCCTATCCCAGGGCAGCTTTAGCAAGAAGTCATAGGATACAGACCTCGAGTCCTAGCTTAACCCAGACCTAAAAGGCGTAAATGTTATTCAGAATCTGTACTAGGACTTGGGTTACTGAAAAATCTCCTTAAAGAACTTCCCTCAAATATTCTGTCAATTCCCTGAAATGACCACACACTTTAATCTAACCCTAAACAAACCTCAGTGAACAGCCCAGTCGTGTCAGGAGCACTGCGGCACTGATCCGGAGCACTAGCAGTAAGTCTGCCTACAGTGGCTCGGCATCCTTGGAAATGTCACTGTGAGACATCAGTACATCCGCGCGACCCATCATGACTCCACTGGGCTTACTGAATCTTCCAATGTTTGTCCACTGCAAATAAGCTGAATCCCACTTTCACTCTAGATAAAAGTTCCAAACCGCACCAGAAGAAAAGACAGAACAGAGGGACTGAGGAGTAAAGTGAAGAGGTGGCCCAGAAGCAGCAGCAAAACACGTACATGGCCCGGAGGGGCCTGCATGGGTCGTTTTAGGTCATTCCGTCCCCTGCAGGCTCTGATGACAGTCTTGTGCCGGTGCAAATGGATCTCAGCTTCTAACTGGTTCCAAAGCTTGTCATGAGCAGGGCCTTTCATGTCTCGTCCTAATAACTGTATCTGCTGGACCCTTCATGTCAAGAAATGAGTTCAGTTACTTTTTCAATATACTTAGGAAGAATTACTAAATATAAGTACCTTTTGCCTAAATCTCAATTGGTAATAAAAATATTCAACAGCCTCTCCATATTTCTGATTTATAAAAATATGAAACCTCTACTAAGAACAGGAGTCAAGGGAAAACCAGTAAAACAAAAATTTTTTAAAGGAAACAAATGACAACTCTTAGTCATACACTGTACTTATTTCAAATATTCCTTAAAAAACAATTTATGAGATCAGTATCAATTAACATGTTTTATGTCTTGCATATGATAAAGGTAACAATATCTGAACTCAGATACAACAGTATTAAGTATTAGCTTTTAGATGATCTACTGAACAAAAGCCTTTCTTCTACTGAGTTTCTTTTCATAAAATGATTCTTTTAAATGTGGTAAAGTTAACAAAATGTTTACGTCAAGATGCTATACTTTTGCTTCACATCGGGTGTCAATGTAATATTAAAACAGTAAGCATAAAACCATTTAGTCCTAATAATCATCAAAGTTTGTGAACACAGCAAAATGAATGCCAGCAGAACCCATTTTTTTATTATAAAAATCAGCTGTTAACGTAATCTTCTTCCTTTTTTTTTTTTTTTTTTTTTTTAAGTTTTTGGAAGGGAAGCAAGCTCAGGTTTCCAGGTGACAGGAAGGACTCCTTGCAGAAGCTATGCTGGCTATGACCCCAACTGTTCTGGCACTGAGGCAGGAAACAGGCACATGATTGCAGCAATTCCCAGTGCTGGGCATCTGCACAGACCACACTTACCCAGGGCGAGTGAACTGCAACACAGGATGCTACTGACATTCACTTAAGAAAACCATGTTCTAACCCACTGAACAGTAATTCTGAGGGTCCGTGTTTCATTCCCAAAGCACCGAGCCTCCCAGGTCATCTGTCACTGAGGACGCGACACGACCCGCTACACACCTGCCAGCCAGCTCCTTGTCCAAATACTTGGCAGCCAGCCTGGCACCGTACACCTCGGCCTGGAGAACAGCTATGTGTCTGCGCAGGGCCTCATTCTCTTTTCGCAACAACTTCACTTCAGCTTCAAGCTGGGCTTCTTGCACCTTTTCTTTTTTGTTTGCTTCAAGCTCTCTTTCCTATTGTAATTTTTTCAAAAAATATAATTTGATGTACGTTTCTTTATGGGTTTTAGCAGTAAACCAGATTCCTTAAAATAGTCTCTAATACCCGCAATGGAAGCAATGATGAAAATGATCACATCATTTCTACAAAATGGAACACAAGGGTTGGGAATCAGTACTGTACCATCTCAGGAGTACTGGCTAGGAACATGCCAAGAGGCACTCTGGCACTGAAGACAGTAAGAGAAGTGGTTTTCTCCAAGGGCAGGAGGTAACTGAGGCTGCTGCTTACTTTCTAAACCTAATAGAAGACATCTACTGGTAACAAGAGCATTATAACATCAAGAGACATCTACAGAGAAATGCACCTATGGTGTCAATTCTGACTGAATTGGGGACACAGCTCATCTCTGTCTACAAGTTTAGACAGAGATTTGGCCTTGCTCTGGCTCTTCGTATATGTTCACCCATTTTCTGCTCCCACAAAAAGACACTAGCCTCTGCTCTACCTGTCAGACCGGCTGTCTGTGTGACTCTACAGGTGTCAGCCGGAAAACACCATTCCAAGTTTTAATGACAAATTCACAGGTGAGAAATTGTATTCAATTTCCCGTAAGATACAAAGCACAATCTATATAATCCTACAAACTAGAGGTTACAAATGGAAATGCCCTCAGGATCCAAGCGCAAAATCAATGAGCAGCTTCAACACAAAGTGCAAGCTGGAAGAGGCCTGCTCAGTGGCAGACTAGTACCAATACCAGTACGCACACAGTGTGTAGCCAAAGAGAAGCTCCTCAAAAAATCACATGTGTCCTGGGAGACTTCAAGCTGCCTTTCCCAAAGCACCTGTCTGCAGAACCTCCAGTCCTGCAAAAGCACAGCCTCATCTGCTCCCGTGCATGGAGGGTGCCCATACTGCGAACCATGCCCCACTTGAGCACTTCAGTGAAAGTCCACTTGGCACCAGAAATCACGGAAACTAAGCAGCAGTTTCCATTCTATGGACACTCATTAAGTACTTTTCTTTTGCTTCTAGGTATCAGAAGCTACAAAACAAATTGCTTTGGTCTACCATCTTGACCAGTATCAAAGTGCAATATATTCAAATATAAGGCAATGCATTCGATAATCTTAAAAACTTGGTACTGTCAAAAATATGTGTGTGTATGTATACACACAGAAGTTAAAATGAATAAAAACTGAGCCAGGCATACCAGCACATGCCTGTAATCTCAGCACTCCAGGCGTAACAGGAGGATCATAAGTTCAAGGTCATGCTGGTCTGCACAGTGGTTCAAGGCCAGCCTAAACTACCAATGGCCCCTGTCTCAAAAAACCAAAACCAAAACACACAAAAACATCCTAGCAAAAACCATGAAATGCTGTGTATGTTATTTTTTGATTAAAATATTTGTTTTATAGGTGGCAAACAATTAAGATGAGCAGGTTTGTTTAACTTCTACAAACAAAAATACAACCCTTACACATAGTTTCTAGATTAAAAGATTCGAAAAACAACTAAACCAGGCATGTTGGTGCATGCCTATAATTCCGGTACTCAGGAGGCTGAGGCAGAAAGATTGCTGTAAGTTCAAGGTCAGCCTGGCTTACACAAAGAGTTCAGGGCCAGCCTAACCTACAAAGCAAGATTCTGTCTTGAAAAAGCAAAAAACAAAACCAAACAAAAGAAAAACTAAGCCAGAATTCTCCTTTTATAACAATTCTGGAATAACATATCAATTTATTTCAAAATGTATTTCCTAAAAGAGCACATATCATTTGCTCCCCTGCCCCCAAAAACCAGCCCCAATAATGTACAAAAACCTTTTTATGACATTTATTATCATTTTATGACATTTTTAGAAAATGTATTTCTAACAGACCAAGATTTCTTTGGACTATAAGCTAAGTACACTTGATGGTGAGAATCATCCACTTCCCATTACTTTTACCATACGATAGCAGTGGAATATGAAAAACATACTAAGCTACCACTGTTTTAATGACTTAAACCTCTAATAAATCTACTACTCTTAGGACTGAAATTAAAAGATGTAAGCAAGAATAAGATTAATGAAACTAAAGATAGTTACTTCTAGATTTAAAGGCAATTTTTGTTTTTTAAGTTAACCTGTCTGTTACTAAGTAACAAACAATAGTAACTTAGTTATTTTACTTGCAGGGCTAGGGACTGAACCAGGACCTTGTTCGTGATAGGTTAAGTGCTTTAATGATGAGCCACACCCCCAGCATTATTTTACATTTAGCTATGCAAGTACATATCATGAAGAGAAGTCATAAAACAAACTGAGACCTGATTAGACTGGGGTAATGGGAATGACATTAAAAATTTATTATTGTTATTTCTAAAATAATCTTTGGTAAAGAATTTTTAAGATCTAGTTGTTTTAATGGTAACACAATTATTCTCAAGACTGATGAAAGTTCTAACACATGCAGTGGATGAAGAAGAAACCAACATGCATACTCTTTTCCCAGGAATAAATTCAAACAAACGGAATGAAGTGAGAAGCAGGCTGCTCAATCTGTATCTGTACTCTCATGTGGGCAAACCACTTGGTCTTCTGAAGGAGATGCGGGAAGCAAGTCACAAAGCCCAAAAGCTGTCAAAAGCAGACAGCTCTGCAAATACAGTAATGGCTATAAATCACAAACAAAAGAAAAACCATTAACTCCATGCAACAAGTAAAATACAATGGCCATCCATTAAACTTTTCAGGCATGGGAATTTTAAATTTCAGATACACAAGAACGATGACATAGAATATGCACATGAAGACATGGAATACTTCAGCACAACATACTAAAGCCAAACAGAACTGCTGTACTCACCAGCTCTTCCACAGAGAGGTTAGACTTAAGATACAAGAAAAAGGGTTTATGATTAGAAAACCATCCAAACAATGAATTTATCTAGCGGTAAAGTCATTACAAAGAAAATTTCTAAATGATGAATATCATTTGGTAAAGTTCATTACAATAAATACATATGCAAATCTACAAATAGTCAACTGCATAGTATTAGATTAAAATCTGTTTTACTAAAATTAGTCAACACAACTGGTTCATTTGCCCTTATTTTGTGTGCCAGGGATTGAACTCATGACCTCACGTTTGCCAAGCAGGCACTTATGCCATTGAGCTAAACCCCCAACCACCACTGGTTCAGTACTTTTCTCTACCATCTTGGTGTTCCAAGTCTAACATTAAGGTAAATTATTTTCAAATGAAATTGTAAATTGCTTCTCCGTGTTAACATCAACTATTTGAAGGAAGCAATTATGATCTGATTTTTATTTCAGTTAAATAAAACACTATTTAGGTTCATATAATTTCAGGATTTAAAAGGACTTTGGAAGAATACAATATTTAAACAGATTCTATCACATCAGTATTAGAAACCAATCAAACAACATTAACTGAAGGTAAGTAAGGCCTACAAACCTATCACTCATCACCTCATCACCTCACGTCCTGCCTTTTCCAAGCTCTGCCTGTCTCGTCTACTGCTGTGTCTCCTCATGGTTAATAAGATGTCTTGCACACGGTATACACCCAATACACAAGAGGGTAAACTGAAATGAGACTAACATTTTTTCTATTTAAGCAACTGAATGTGTTAAAAAGATACTCGTTAATTATAATAAACTCATAAACACCAATATGCAGCCTTTCCTGTGATTACAGTGTTCAGCAGGAAATGCTCATAGTATAAAAGAATGTGCTATTGATTAGCACCCAGTTCTGTATTCACCTCTTTTCTGGTTACAGAACTGATTTTACTGCAGTTGACCATGTGACCAACTAAAAAGCTCACACAGGGCTATGTACAGCCAATGAGATATTGGCAGAAATCACTGAGGAGAATGTTGCAAAAAGTTCTTTGGACAAAGCGAACCAGCCCTTTCTTTAGATGTCTGCCCGTTCTTTAGATTCCTATGCTTCCTGCCGACAATGCAGACATGAAGAAATCCTGAAATGCAGACATGAGCTAAGGTGGGACCACACAACAAAGGGACTTGTGTCCTTAATCCCTATGGGGCTGGCATATCAGACTTGTGCTGCCTGCCTTCAGGTTCCTATAACAGAATGTAGCTACTCTTCCAGAATGAGACTACTGGATATGCTTGTAAGCTACTCTTAGGAGCCTGAGGCAAAGCAACTTAGTAAGACTAGTCTCAATAAGTCCAATGGTGGAACACTTGGCTAGCATGAGTGAGGCCCTACTAACAACAACAACAAAAAAAAAACCAACAACACCACATCAGAATAACCCCAATTTGTTATACGCAGCTGAATTTAATCCTAGCTGGTAAAGCAAAACAAGAAAACTGTTCATATGTCTTAATTACAAGTACCTCTTAAACTTACTTATGCACAAGTTTTTAAATGGGAAAAAATTCTATCAGCTGGTTACTGATATCGCTGATTACCTATTACTGTGAAGTTGCAAATGAGCACGGTGATTACAAACTCTGCATCTCCTCTATTTAAATTACCCACACTGAATACACGAACATTTTATACTTAGATGGCCTCACCCTCCAGATACAGAATACATACCACTCTTTCAACCACTCACCAATTTCGCCTTGATGGTACCGGAGTCAACACTGGGCCCAGTTTTCGCATGAAGCTGTAGCTGGATGGAGTGCAACTGTAAGAGCTGGTCGTGGACCTCTTTCTCCAGCACAACCTTCTCTGCCTGGGTCTCTGTCAGTTCAGACCTCAGGTCTACCAACTGCGCCTTAGAGAACAAGTAAAAGCATTAAGTATGCTTAATTTTATTTTACTCTAATAATTAGTATCCAAGAATGACAGTCTTTGGGACACTAGAAGATTATTCACTGACCAAGACACCTATCTAAATTGACAGGAAATAAACAGGACAAGAAAGACACCTAGGTGACAGGAAAAACTCCATGATCAACATATTTTTAAGACAAAATGCTGTTTCTATTTTATTTTAGGAAGGCTCTTCACTGATTTGGCTTTATTTTCAAAACTGATGAGAACACATATCTAGTTCAGCCCATCACCCTGCACAGTACAGACAGGTGGTATCATGGTAGCCATTCACATTAACAGCTGAGTGCAGGGCCAGGCAGAGGTGCTCTGTGTGCAACCCAGAAAGCTTTCATAGCACCCACCCACCCCGAGACCTGGCTTATTTCTTTAGTCCTCATACTCACAATTAGTTTGGCTAGATTGAGACTTCTGGCTCACATTTTGGCTCATTGATCATTTTAAATGCATCACCACACTGGCTTTTGATATAAAACACTGCTACTGAGAAATCCAGTCCTAACTCCTCCCCACCCCCTTACAAGTTAAAAGACTTGGTCTTTTGTCTGAATTTCCCAAGTTCTTTTTGCTTCTTCTATTTTTTTTTTCTGTACTGGGGATCAAACTCATGACCCAGCGCTTGCCAGGAAGGTGCTTATCCTACTGAGCTCAATCCCCAGCTTTTTGTTTCATTTGTACACTTCAGGATTCTATCAACATATATCTTGGGGTTAATCATTCTAGGTCTACTGCAGATTCAATCCTGAGTTCTTTCAGTATGTTCTGTTTATAGTTTTTTGGTTTTGTAAAGAGTTGGTTGGTTATTTTTAAAGTGAAATTCATGTAAGATTTAAATAACTATCTTAATGTGAGTCATTCAATGGCATTTAACACAGTTGCAACCACCCAAAAGAACTGGTCTACAAAAAAAAAAAAAAAACCAGTCTATGTCTGTCAAGTAGGTGCTCTGCATTTTCCCATCTCTCTCACTGGCTTCTGATGGTCACCAATTTGCATTTGGCCTCCAATGATTCCAAATTCCAGACACTTCACATAAATGGAAGTTATCTTCTATGTCTGGCTTCCTTCGCTTAGCATGTGTTCAAGGCCCATCCATGAGATAGCATGTGTAACTGATTCACTTCTCTTTATGACTACCACTCCATTGAGTACATACGTTACAACTGCTTAACCTGTTCACCTGACCAACATTTAGCTATCATTGTCTACCCACCGACAGAACTTCTGGCCTGAAGGTAGCCTGGTATTACCTACAAACGCTGGCTACCTGTGTGGCCAGCCCTGCAGTTCTGCAACACCTCCTACAGTATGTATCCTATCTTGAATAAAAACCTTTTCTTTCCTTCAAAATTATTTCTGCCTGGATGAAGTAGGATTCTACCTATCAGTGATCCTTTAGAACTGATTAAACTCTTTTTCAAAAGAAGCTTTTCTGAGGAACTTCTCAAATCCCCTGAGTCTATCGCTGTCATTGTTGGTCTTCTCGTAGCTCTTCGTGTGACTGACGCTGTCATTGCCTGCTTCCACTACAGTCTAGCTCTGGACGCTGCCACTGTTCTGCGACCCCCAGGGGATCTGCTGGTGCCTGGGTCTCTGGACCCCTCTATTCCTCTGCATGCAGCTGTTCCTTCTCTGGAACAGGATCTGCAACAATATCCCACATTTCCTGCCTTGAAAAATTTCCTCATGTGATAAAAATGTCTCACAGACTGGTATTCATGTAATACACTATCCACAGAAGAAAAACTTACACAAAGAATCACCTTTCCCCAACAGTACAGCACATCCTGAAGAACGTTCTAGAAGTACAAAAAGCCTGGCCTAGAAGTCCTACTTGAAAGGGTTTTGGCCCAGGCCGGACACTGTAGCTGGTAAAGCCAAGGAGCTCCTATCTCCCCCACCCCTAGAGATTTACCTGTAACTCTATCTCCCCCCCACCCTTAGGAATCTACCCCTGGCGCCAAACATGTGCCAATGAAATACCTGTGCATCCCTAATGGCCCTAGGGCACTACCCTAAGCTTAGGCTACTTATATAGCCCCACGCCACGTGTCCGCCACGTGTCCGCTGGAGAGATTGCTGGACTCCAGCGGGCGGGGGCCAGTTATCTCTCTCCGTGTTCTCAGAATAAAGGCCTCTTTTGTTTCATACTTCATATCTTTTGGAAATAATCCTATCACTACTCAGTAAGAGAACACCAAAATGACCTGTGAGACAGGATGGTCTCTAAAACAAATATTGGCACAGTACTATACATGTACTTTGAACAGTATGCAGCTTATATTAGCATTGACATATCCAGAAAGACATACCCAGCCATTTAAACTGTAAACAATTTTTTTAATTGCATTGACTATCATTCCACATTTGTTGTGTTTCTTTGTAATACTAAGATGTTCCTCTACTCCTCATGCTTCCTGTAAAATGCAAATTAAACCCAAGTATTTTTATTAGACTCACGTACTCTTCCTGATAAAGATGTAAGGATGCTGTGTTTTATCAAGAGTCACATAGTATCTAGTTGCCCTACTGTTTTTCCCTTTAAACTGTAACAGCATGATTTATTCATAAATGAATAAAATCTTCTGGAATTAAAGAGGCAGAGTTGGGTATGAAGGCACATGCCTGCCATTCCAGCACTCAGGAGGCTGAGGCAAGAAGACTACTATCAGTTTGAGGACAGCCTGGGCTACATGTAAGTTCAATGCCAGCCTAAATCATACTGAGACATCATCTCAAAAAAAAAAAAAAAAAAGAATAAACAACAACCAAAAAAAAAAAAAAAAAAAAAAAGAGGCAGGAATGATATTTAATGTGTAGACCAAAATGCAAATTAAACCTTTTTTAATATTTAAGTGTTCTAATTGCAAAAAAAAAAAAAAAAAACCAAAAGCACATAGCTACATTTTAAAGATAGGGCAAATAAAACCAGCATAAAAGTCTTTTGAAAGTGGCTCATTATGTGAACTCTTGATTAAAAGAGGTAATTGCTCCTAAAGTTGCTCAAGTCAAAAAGTAAACAATTCTTTAAAATGATAAAGACATCAAAGTTTAAAGTATAAATTTTTTGGATGATTTAAATTTACTCTAAATTTAGTGATGTTTAAGTAAATTTTCTCATCTATGATGTAAGCATTTTCTCTAAGAAAAATTTTTGATAGCTTATTAGAAATTTCTTTTTAAAAAAGAAATCTACATATTTAATAGAAATTCTTCTAATGTCATAGACTTTTAGAATGAAAAGGTCCAGAGAACACAAAGACTATGAGTGCAATTACTGTTTAGATAACAAAACCAAGGCCCATATATTTTCAAGCACTATTGCTGGTCAGGAGCAAAACAACACTGGAATTTAGTGTTCTTGACTGCCCGAGCAGGAGAGAATAACTGAGCAGTGGCCTAAGGACAAATCTGTTTCTACAGCTATGGTACTGATTACTGGTGGCTACAGGTATGGTGATTACTGACCATATTTACAGCACATAAAACAAGCATCTACCTAGCATATGGCAAGGCGGACAGTTCCACACATTATCACACTCAACTTTTTTTTTTTTTTTAAATAGTTAAGGAAACTCAAAGTTTCAGGCTTTGAACAATTTGTTCAAGATCACATATTGAATAAACAAAAGACCTGAAACCCTCAGCCATAAAAAGCACCTGGATTTCTTCCATTTGTCTCAGGTAACCTACACACCTTAGTATGAGAAGAGATACAGCTGATTTCAACCTTTCCCCTACAAATGTTGAATGACACTCAAAAAGCATTTTAAAGAAAAAACAAACAAATGTTGAAGATTATATTACCTACTGATTTTATTTACATCTGGTCACGAAGGTACATTTACAGAAAAAATAAGAATGACCCAATCTCATTCCAGGAAGATCTCTAGGCCCTGAAATCCTGACCTCTGCTCCACTCAATTCATGACATCAACCACTATTTCATAAGGCAGAGATTCTCAAAATGTGGCCCATGAAGCCCAGTATCAACTGGAATGGAGCCAGGAGACAAACTAACGATAAAAGACAGTCACAAAGCCTTCTTCCTATGCTTATGTACCTCTAGTAGTTTCACAGCATCAGGTCTCACACTGAAGTCTCTGATCTACCCATGGCTGACCTGTGTCTGAGGTAAATAATAGGGGACTTATTTCCCAGTTCTGTCGGGCTACCCTGGATTCCCAGCACTACTTTCCCCAGTGCACAGGAGTAGATCCAACCCTGCAGCCCCTAGTCTGTCCCACTGACCTAGGTGTCTTCTCCCTGTTTCCATCCTGCTGTTTCCACTCGTGTACCACGGTGCTACCACAGCTTTGCTCGCTCTCAAGACTGCTCTGGCGACTTAGGACTCAGTCCTTCTCTAACCATTCTGAGCTAGCGTCATCTCTGCTTCTGTGAGTGACGTCACTGAATCCCTAGAACACTCTGAGCACCATGGGCATTGTAACAGCCTTCTTCTTCCAATCCATGAACACGAAGTCTTTCTCTGTTGTGTGTGTGAATTCTCTTATATATATCAGTGTTTATCAGAAAAACAGTTCCCATTCATATCGCTATTATAGAAGACAGTGTGATGCTTCCTCAAATAGCTGAACTACCACATGATCCAGCCATCCTATACCTGCACATCTACCAGGCTCAAAGAGAATGAGATTAGTAGGCCAAAGCCACCTGCAGGAAGATTTATACAATAGCCAAGACACAGCATCACTGAGATGTCTGACGGGTGGATGGGGCAAGAAACATGGGATGCAGATCCAGTGGAACACTGCTCTGCCAAGAGATGATGTCGTCTGCAGGCGCAGGAATGGACCTGGAAGTCACCGTGTCTGTTAGATGGGACACAGGCACAGAAAGGAAAATAAACACTGCATGAGTTCCCTCATGGGAAAAGTCACTCTCACAGGAGGGCACACAGTAGCAGGGACCAGGAAGTGA